AGTCTTAGCCATGAAAGTATCGTAAGAGATTGTAAGCAATATTTTTGAAAATAGTTTTTGATATATTAAGTTCCTACTTACACCGTTCCGTTACGCAACTATAATATTTTTTAACCATTTTGCTGTGCACTAACAAAATAGTAAATTAGTCAAGTCTTTTTTGTAACTTTATAGAATTTACTTAGGAAGTAAGTCCAGGGACTTTTGCGTTCATTTAATAAAAAACACTCGATCAAACTGAATCACAGCTCTAGGTAAGTGGTCTTAATGCATAATCTTTTCTCTAAACCTACCCAGGCTAGTAAGAACTTAAAATTGACTAGAAACGGAAAAGTTCTTTAACAGCGATAATAACTAGTCAAAGGAAAAGTCAGTCACATCCATACGAGTACAGAACTTTCCCTACAACACTATCGTGTGCTGCGATAACGTCAAAACAAGCCATTCTGACCCTTATCACTGTCATCTTTAGGAATTCCTGCTGAAGCTGCAAAGCCTAGTCAACTTGGTGTTATGTCACGAAGTCTGAGAAAGTTTATCCTAAAAGCCAACTGCTCGGTAAATATTTTGCATTTTACTAATATTAGAAAGTACAAAGGTACCGGTCAATTTGAAAACTCGGTAGGTGCGAATTGTTCGTTCGTTTCAACCAAATAACGTCCAATGCTGGACAAAGGCCTCCCCCAAGGATTTCCACAACGATCGGTCATGGTCATGACATGATCTGCATCCAGACGCTTCCCGCGACCTTCACCAGATCGTCGGTCTACCTAGTGACACTGCGTTTTCCGGCCCGTGGTCGCCACTCGAGAACTTGTCTGCCCCAACGGCCATCAAATCTACGAATTGCAAGTGTTATGAAAAAACTATTGAACTTTATGTTATTTTTTACACGTAATTATTAGATAATACATACCAGTGGAAACGACAAAAAATTAATTAAAATATTACCCAATTCAAGGTAATTACGAAAAGACTACCTATAAGTAAGCTAGGTGAAACTTACACAATAGTTTGGTAAATTTATTGTAACATAAAAAGTTATTTTAATCAAAGTTATTATGAAAGCGATGAAAAAACATTTTTAACACAAACAATTCTTATGTAATTTATTTTTAACACAATCCTTTTTGATGCATTAAAACAAGTGAGGTGTAAAAGTTAAACCGGGTTTCCAGCGCGTGTTTTGCCCTAAACAATCAACAAAACATTCAACATTTTTGTAGGCAATTTTGTTGAATATTGACATGTTTTTGTTGATTGTGTAGGGCTTAACACGCGCTGGAGACCCGGCTCTAGAATTACTTAACTTGTGCTGGTAAAAATCGTGTCTGACTAAGTACTTATGTGACAAAGAAAAAAAAAGCAAACACGTACAAAACAAACAAAGCTATCAGTTTTAGAATCTTATCTCATGTTTACCAGATTACAGGTAATACAAGACCTACTTTCAGACTAACTGGATCAGGCAAATAGCACTTTTGTTACGACAAGGTCTTGACTCTTGACTCGACCACGATAGGCTAGTTTGAAGGACGGTTTTTGTATGTGACGTCACTTTTTGTTTGAATTGGGCAAGCCTAAACATTAAAAATTAGCTGTTTAGACAGAAAATTAACCTAGGTTTAACAGCAGCGTTGCCAGACGTCCCGATTTTGGCGGGACGTCCCGATTTTTTAATCAAATTTAAATGTCCCGCGCGGGACAGGCTCCGTCCCGCTTTTCGGAGAGAAACACTCACTTCACCAGACTATTGTTTGAAACGCCATATTATTGTAAATAATAAAACTTTTTTAATTTCGATATTTTTTCTTTTTTTATTCTAAAGACGAATTTAATGATAGAATAAATCTGTACCTCTAGTACGAAAAACTTTCGAGTTTCCCTAAACCCTATATTATAGCCGCCCTAGGGGGCGCTGTTTAATTTTTCATACAAAATTTTTCGATGACACTTTGAATACGCAACGAAACGAACTCGAAAGTTTTTCCTACTAGAGGTACCTACTGTACCTCTAGCATGAACAACTTTCGTCTTCGAATCGTTTGCGTATTCGATAAAATTCGATACTCAACCTTCGAATTAAACGATAACGTGACAATTTTGATTTTCAAAATAAGTTTCGTGCAACCATTTCTTACACTAAGTTCACTTTACGACACGTCCACAAGGGTGCTGTTGTAGTTTTCGTACTATAAATCTTTTGATGGCGATTTGAGTACGCAAACGATTTGAACTCGAAAGATTTTCGTGCTAGCCGTACTGATTTAAAATATTATTTTTTTTGTTAAAATACATTTTCTATGGCTACTTATGCTATCTATTGTCACGTAAACGTAATTTTAAGTCAAATAAAAAGATAAATATTTGAAAACCTTTGATTATTATACGTTTTTTTAATATGTCCCGCTTTTGACGGAAGAATCCCGCTATTTTCACTCAAAAAGTACCAAAGTCCCGACTTGGCGAAAAAAAAAACTGGCAACGCTGTTTAACAGAGAAATGCTGATGATGAAAATTAATTAAGTTTTTTTTATAACGCTAAATTCAGCTCGCGGATTTTGTTAGAGGATGAAAGATACTTAGAGCGATAATTTAAAAGGCTTAATTTAGCCACAAATTATTTTTGCTTTAGCCATAAAAACACGTACCTATCAGTTTTGTGATTTAGAATAGAGCCTCTCTCTCCCTCATTTGTCTTTAAAAATTCTCAACGATTAGGTACCAGCTTAAGTATCACCTAATCTTAGCTAGCAGAAGATTATTGGCCCCTATTAGGACTGTAGATCTCTTTTAACAAGTGAATGAATAATTTACGATGTTATGTTGTCACGTCAACTATTTCACAATGCTAGTAAAACAGCAGCATTAAAAACTTCATAATCAATTTTTTTTTCAATGTAATTTTTTTTACTAACCAAAATACGATTTGCGTGTGCGTCACCATGGCGCGACCATATTAAAAATTGACAAAACCCCTGATTTACAAGTTAAAAAAAGAATTATTTTATGTCATTTATTCAAATTATTTTAATTCTTTCAATTTAGTACCACTTTTGATTTCACCCAGAGATACGAAAAATCCTGAAGTCCAAGGACCCAAAAACCCAAACAAAACTAGTTTATAAATATTGTCATTTTATCTAAATATTCAAGATTTGTGACAAGAAACGTTCTCAATTCCCGTCAATAACTGTGTAAGCATAGGTATTAACAGCTGTAAATACTGTAATCCTGTTACTGTTAACAGATCTAATTTTCTCCACTGTCGTCCTGCTAATCTGCGATTATCGGTTGTTGGACGCAATCTGGTGGTAATTTTGTGTCGCTGTATAAAACAAGCTTGACGAACGATTTCTTAAAGGTAGCAGGAAGGCGCTGGATGCAGGCCGCTGCCAACCGGCCATTATGGAAATCATTGGGGGAGGCCTATGTTCAGCAGTGGATGTCGGCTGAAATGATGATGATGATGAATAAAACATTTTTTTTTAATTAGGGCTACAATAGCCCAACAGTTTCGGCATCGGATTGCTGATTCCAAAGATCGCTAGTTCGATTCCCGACGACTGATGTTCCTGGACTATAAGTACCTATATTTTTGTGGTGCTATTTTTTTAAACCACCGGTGACCTTTTTTGTATCAAATACTTAATATGGGTTCGAGCTATAGTAGTGTTATTTGAAGTAATTTATGCCGAGTTAATGATAAGTAAATATTGGTAATTTAGGTAGCTATTTAGGTAATTACGATATAAAAAGATAAGATTACTAACACGTATGACGCATTATTATCACAGATTAGAATTAACATAGAGACGATTGTATGAAAGTTGATTAATAGCTTCAAAACGACAATGAAGGAATGTGAAATATGTACTTGTTGAAACGTTTATTGCGGTTTAATCAAATTATAGTTTTATTAGGGCAACAATAAAAAAAAACAACGCTTTAAACATTATTTTGGGATACGTCTGTAGTACTGTGGTAGTTCCTTTTTCTCTGAGTAGTTTCGTGTTAAAAAATCTCAGATATTATATTTTTTTTAAAGATTTATCCCTCAAATCTCAATAAGCCTACGGAGAAAAATTTAAAAGTCTAATAAAAAATAATCGAAAGGCACGAATTCGTGGAAACCGGTAATATTAGTAGTTATCGGTAACCGAACGAGACAGGTTTACATTCCTCAGTAAAATGTTGCCACTTCACTTGCACAACCGAAATATTTGCATTTAACTTATTGAGAGGAATCTGGTGGAGTCAATCCTTAATTTAACATGGCATTTTTCCTTTTTCTATCAGTTAAGGAGTTAAGTTTTCTTCGTGGTACTTTCTCGGCAATTGTCAAGATTTCACAGGCAAGTAATTATTATCCGAGGTTTTGGAGTAAATCTCTCGCACGCTAGCCAGACGGATTAGGGACTTGGGGTGGCATAAGGGTGATGGTGATGGGCACATAATGGTTTGCTTAACTAGTATGAAATGGCTAATGGACCATCAATGTGATTATTTTGCCAGTGAAAGCTAGCTACTACAATTACTTTAAATGTACTAAATCCATCAAGATAATTGCTTATCAATCAATCTCATTATTTTTTATCAATCTTACGACAACACGTTAATCGTAAGGTTCAGAATCGCTTACCTGGATGATATCTTAATGTTATGGTGACCTTTGCTTCCCCTTGATCTTTGTGAAAATTACTACAACCTTAAAAATAATTGGCAAACCTTAAGATCAGATCAAACCACGTCATGCTTTTAGCCTAATTACCTACTAAAAATTACATCAAAATCGGTTCATCTTATAAAAAATAACAAATGTTGTAAATTATTTAGGTCAATTAATTATCTCAAAAGTCACAACATTAATATTGAACAATTTAAATAAGCAAATTAAAAGCATAAAAACATTTTAATACATAAATGAAGAAGACGGATCAAGATTAACATTCAAATTCAATGCGTCATAACAAAAAAAAAGGAGACGTCACGTGTCTCACCTTTGCGGGATTTCCAATACAACTTCCTCAGGTAGTAGGCCGCGGCGACCAACAGAAGAGCGGCGATAAAAGCACCTATTGCCGCCCCCGCCACGCTGCCAGCACCATAACAATCCGCCACATCTTGGCCGAAAACACTTGGCACCAGAACCGTCACAAAAAACAGATACAAAACACCCATTTTAAGAAAAAAAACTTATTCTTTTTTCAAATCACACAGTGTAACATCACTATTATGGCACATGGACGTTCCAATTTAAGCACAGATCACATTCCTAAAGTTTGAATTCAATTTAAATCCGGAATGTCGAGTTTTTTTTTATACTCGCGGCAAAGGCGTCCGCTACATCCGGCAGCGCGATCGACTGTGGCGCGCTTGCTACGCTCGCTCAGCGGTGAATAGGCTCCGATTGTGGGACAGAGAAGGTGTGTGGAAAACGTGTTTGGACAATCCATGTGTGCAGAGTAAGCAGGGCCATGGTTAAACAAATATTTTTTATTAAAAAAAAATATTACATGTCATTATTATCCATATCGGTTAGCTCAGCCTGGCTTAGCCCAATTCCAAATACCTACATAATTAAAAAATATTTTGTTTTTATCACGCTTTACAACAAAAAAACACTTTATCAGAATCACACACACGTCATCATAATTAGAGCATTATAATATAACCATACTAGCCTTAAATTTAAAGGAAAAAAAACACAGTAAAAAACTAAAGAGTAGTCCCGCCGGCATAACACACACACCTGTGACAAGAGGCGCTCGCTGCGCTCGCGCAGGTAGCACGCAAACATGCACAAAGGCACTCACACAGGCGCATCTATCTGGTATCGGACCTAAGTATGCGATAATGTTGTGATGAGACAGAGTGAGTACCTATGTATGACTTGAAAATACTACGTAGTTAGAAGACTTGGTGGAGAACAGAAGTCAGCAGAAAGAAATAAAGTTTTTATTGCATTAATTAATTAAGTTACATGGTGTTTGATGGTTTTGAGATTAATTTTGGAATCATAAAATCCCAAAAAGAAATAATAATATGTTTTCATTAAATAATTAAAAAAAAGTAATAGAGAACAATAAATACAACATTCTAAAAAGAATATTGTCCTGTAATTTTTCTTCTGTAGTTCTTCAGGCTGACATTATAGGAAATTCTTTGGCTTAATTAAAACACCTCGGGACTCAGCCTCATGCCCTCAGATCACGAAATAAATATGTTTGTGTTTTGTGCTCAATTTCCGTGAGAACCCATGACCTTTCGCTTGTAGAGCGCTGGGCGACTGATCTAACCACCGAGCCATACTTCTACCGCTTCAACGCTCACCAGATAGCGCCACTGGTTTGCACTGATGATACCATTAATAATTACCAACTCCCATGATTTTGGGAGTTTAAAAAAAAAGTAATGAAACTCAATCAGTACACTTTTTTTTCACTACAATTATTGTATTAACTGCACTTTATTACTTACTAGCTTTCCGCCCGCGGCTTCGCGCCCGTGGACCCCTAAACCCTATGTTTTTCCAAAATAAAATTTAGCCTATGTTACTCGTGGATAATGTAGCTTCCGAATGGTGAAATAATTTTTAAAAACGGTCCAGTAGTTTTTGAGCCTATTCATTACAACCAAACAAACAAACAAAGTTTTCCTCTTTATAATATTAGTGTAGATCAATAGACTGACATGCAAGGTGACATGTCAATAAAGTTTTCAGTTACTGTTGCCATTAAAAGAAATTAGTATAGTTCCAAAATACTGGACTGTCCTGTCGATGACATTGACAGTGGGGCGCCACCGTCAATACCGGATCGCTGGTTCAGATTTTTGCCATGTTGGAAACCATACAGTTGAACGATGGTAGCGCCCCCCTGTCATTGAGTTTGGCGGGACAGTTCAGCGTGGGTCATCTATACCATTAGTTTTCCGCAACATGGCGAGGGTTTTTATGTTCCTGGTCAGGCTATAATTATTTTGATCTGAATAAAACGATAAAATGTCATGTCAAAATAAAAAGTGTTTTGTAGTTTCCACAAGTCTAATAACAGAAATTAATTTGTGGCCAAATGTTGTTTTATACATTGGCAACATCGCTTTTGACAGTCAGAAAGGTTTTTTTTGTTTTTTTTTGGTTTTTTTTTTTGTTTTTTTTTTGTTTTTTTGGTTTTTTTTTNTCAGAAAAAGACATTTTGACAATTAAAAATTTAGAAGTTTTTATTAATTTCAGGTGGGGGATTCCGTGGAGGGTAGTTGAACGGGAAGCATGGTCGATCTGTTTTAATTGTTTCAATTTATTATTTAATGGACTTTAGTGTACAAATTTGGTGTTATTTTGTGTTCTAAAGTGCAGTGAAGTGGTAAATTATAAAAAACATTGAAATACTTCGAGTTTGAGCGCGCATCGAGTGTCGAGTGGGTTGTCGTCTGAACAACCCGCTTTGGACCCGGTGGCGTCTTGAAACCTGCTTACGGGCATACTTAACTCCACGGAATCCATGAAAAATCAATAGAACTGAAACACCCACGTTCTATTGATAACTATGTCAATTTTCACTCGACATTGGCAGAAATAAACCTCCCAGAGAGGTTTGGTTGCCATAAAAAAAAAAAAAATAATAATTTCAGGTGACCAGCTAGTAGGCAAGCCGTTATACAACAAGGCAATAACAGAAAAGGATTGGAAAGACATCGAGAACGTGTTCACTGAGATGTTTGAAGAGTATCGCTGCAGGAGAGAGACGCTCATCACCAGATTGGAGTGCACGATACAGAGTTTTGAGGTAAGAATAAGAATGTCTTTATTAAACAGGGTGTTTGGTAAATGGGTATATGAGCCGACACTAGCCAATGTTAACATGGGCATATAAATGGTATGGTGAAGTCAAAAAATTGATATCTTCATTTTAATTATTTAAATCATACAAATCGGATTTTATAAAAAAAATATTTTGTATGAAAATTTAAAAAAAATTAAATGATGATATCAAATTTCTGACGTCACTATACCATTTATATGCCCATGTTAACATGGGCTAGTGTCGGCTCATATACCCATTTACCTAACACCCTGTATAGGTATACAAAGCAAGAGTAAGTAAACAACAGCAAAAATCAGGACTTGACACAAACGTCATGCCGAGAAGCTGGTTTTCAGCGGGAACCAATGCGTGATGAGGATTGCGCGCCCTTCTGGTCGAGACGGTTTGATCAGACAGTGTCAGACAGGTTATAGGCGAGTTACAGTCTGATGTCACTGTGAGCCAGGTCAGTCTACTGGCCATAAGGGCGCGCAATAGGGGGCGTTGTAGTCGCCAGGTGAGCACTTATACCCGTTAGTTCGTTTCAGCCGAAAGACGTCCACTGCTGGACAAAGGCCTCCCCCAAGGATTTCCACAAAGACCGGTCCTGCACCGCTCGCATCCAGGCACCTACCGCGACCTTCACCAGATCGTCGGTCCATCTAGTGCATTGGTTCCCAAAGTGGGGGGCGCCCCAGAGGAGGCGCAAAGACCTTTAAAGAGGGGTTGTGTACTTATAAAAAACCTGCAACCGCTGAGAGAATGCATTCCAGACTGCTCGATATGACCAATAAATAATCTTGACTGGAGGCGCGGAATTCTTTGTATGGTCGAGCGCGTTTCAAATAAGTTTGGGAACCAATGATCTAGTAAGAGGCCTGCCCACACTACGTCCACNTACACCAGTCAAATTAATAAGTATTTACCACAAAGGGATATAAAATTTTTACAATTTGCTGATGATTTATTAATTTATACTGTAAATAAGAATGTAAACACTGCTGTGCATAATCTAAACCTAGCTTTAGTTGAAATTCATAATTTTTACTCTGGTAAATTAAAACTTGATATTAGTCCCAATAAGAGCGGCGCTATGCTATTCTCGAAAAAGTATAATGACTGTAATTGTACTATTTATTACAATAATAATCCTCTTCCATGGATTCAGGAAAAAAAGTTTTTAGGAGTGTGTCTAGATAAAAAACTCACATTTGAAAGTCATATCAAGCTTCTAATTCGCAACTCTTCTAAGGCTTTAAACATATTGCGTTCACTAGCTGGTGTAAGTTGGGGCTCTGATCCCAAGATTTTATCAATGTTATACAAGAGTTTAGTACGTAGTCATTTCGACTATAGTACTTTGGCATATATGAACTGTAGCCCAACCCTACTAAAAAAATTAGATGTTATTCAGAATAAAGCACTTAGAATAATAACAGGAGCTATGTGTTCAACTCCTATCATTGCTATGCAATGTGAAACATGCATTCCACCTTTAGTACTGAGACGTATTCAACTAGCAGGAAATTTTTGCCTTAAACTAATAACTTCAACCAACAAACCAGTACTAGATAGAATCATGCCTCCCTTATCATCCCAAATGTGCTCTACTCCTCCTCCTCCAATTACAGGTAATGAGTTAATATCTGGACGCACTCCAGCCTTACTAAGAATTGCATTGTATATTGAGTCTCTCACTGTAAATATGTATAAAGATAAGCCATGGCCCATGTATAAAGTTAATTATGAAGATCTTGTTGTAAAAAATTTCACTATTTTAAGAGAAAAGATCTCCAATCAAATTGATCTTAATAAATTTCTAAATAAGTCTTATTATAAAGTGTACACAGATGGTTCAAAGAAAGAGAATAGTGTAACCTCTGCATTTTATGATCCACAACTTAAACTTACTCAAAGTCATAAAATTGAAAGCCACTGTAGTATCTTTACTGCAGAAAGTTATGCTATCCTCTTAGCACTTAAACATATCTGTACATGTAATCCACCATCTGACAATATTATTATTCTAACTGACTCTAAAAGCGTATTACTAGCTCTGGAAAATAACTCTTGTAAATATAATTTGAATTATATAATTTATGATATTAAGAAATTAATTAATAACATATATAGACTTACTGGTAAGACACTGCTCTTCCTTTGGGTACCATCGCACCGTGGCATCAGGGGGAATGAAATTGTTGATCTGGCTGCAAGGAATGGCTTTGATGTTGACCATTCTACGTTGTTGAAGTTACCTCACACTGACTATCAAGCCGCAATCAGTCAAGACCTGAAAAAGATATGGCATGAGTACTGGACAATTACTAGTATGGAAAAGGGAAAATGGTATGCTAAGATCCAAGGAAGCCCGCCCGCCAAACCTTGGTACCATCGGAGGAATGAGAATATAGATAACAGGAAGTTTATAACCATCATAAATAGGCTGAGATTTGGCCATTGCCACGCTCCCACTCACCTGAAGAGGCTCAACTTGATTCCGAGCCCTGAATGTACATATTGCAATGAAGAGCTTGCTGATTTGGAACACATAATCTTGAAATGTAGAAGTTTTGGAGTTCAGAGACTGGTCATGATCGACGACCTTCAATCTATTTGTGAACGTGTACCAGAGTCGTTGGACGAGCTCTTGAAGGATCCGAAACTTTTCAAACCCTTATATACTTTCGTGGTTTCAACTCTGGGAACTATTTGAGAAGAGAATATCAGTGAATCAGTTGGAAATGTTGGAATCATCAGTGCTGTGCATCAGTGCAGTGAACTCAGTGAAGTGTCAAACACAGATGTGATGTGTCAAATTCAAACAAAAGTTCAACGGACTTCAAAGACTGGCTTAAAAGGGCTTGCACCCAGAGCCGTGAAAAACTATATTAAAAAAAAAAAAAAAAAAAAAAACAGTCAGAAAATATTCGTGGATTCGGGAAATCCATCGAAATACTTTTGCCGATTTTCGTGAAGAAAACAAGAAGAAAAGTGGTTTTTGTTAATAATTTAATACCGGTTTGAATTTATTGGTTAAATTACAACAAAATCAACACTGCAAAGGTGTTTTTAGCAGTAAAATGGAGAACGATATATTAGATTCACTTACCGACTTGGGGTAAGTTTCACAATATTAATTTTTAATAGTCTGTTTTGATTTTATTACATATTTATTAATAAAAAACATAGAATAAAACTACTAGTCGTGTTTAAAAATATATTCAACCTGCTGACTGGGCAAAATGCTTTAGAAATATGCTTCGATTTTGAAATATAGGTTATGTTTTATTTATATCTCAATTTTTTGTTGCATAAAATAGTAGGTAAGCATTTTTTCTATAATTTTTTGATAGCTTAATGCAAAAAACATTCAATTAATTTATGCAATTAAATACCACATTGGTATATTATAATGTTTTATGATTACATTTCTTGTGACCATCTGGAATCATTTTTAACAGCTAATTATGTCTTAAATTTTTTTTAAAAATGAAAGTAAAAGTCATAAATGAAGGAAAGTTACACAATTTAATAGTTTGCTGAACTTAGAATGCAGTAACTATTTAATTTGTAAACCACAAACAATACAAAATAATGTTTTTTCACAGCTACGATGGTCCTCTCTCTGACGAGGTGGCATTTTCGAAAGCTCTCGACGGTGGGCCCAAATCATTGGAGTTCACCAAACTGGTCCACATACTAGCCGAAGAACTGAAGAAGCTGTTACAACTCGAAGAGACTGTCAACATGATGACCAGTGTAGACGAGTCCAGTTCGTTTTTGCTAGAATTGAGCTCGTTTTTGAAAGAGTTGGGTTGTCCATACAAGAAGTTGGTAGTAGGTACGTACTTGTGAAATGATTAACAAAGAAAGATATAAATAAAGTAGATCTACCTTAGATTAGTGATAAGACTACCAAGAGATAGTATAGTCTGACGGACATAATAATTCATTATGAGTAAATTGATTTTGACCTTATTTAACCCCTTACTTGGTGGTATCTAAATTGCCTCAATATTCTGGACTTTATTGATAAGAAATAAGATTCATAACTTGAACATATTGAATAATTATTGAGAATTATGAATAAATGCTTAAAAATGCTGCTTATTTATACAGGACATAATAACATGGATAAGACTTATGCCATATTTTCCACAGGACACATGTCAGCCCGACTTCAAAGCAAGGAGGATCGGCTTCTGCTACTAGACTATTTGGTGTCGGAGCTGATGGCAGCGAGGATGCAGCGCGTTGACTGCCCCAAAGAGAAGTCTACGTCTGGCATGGACATTATTGTGGTATGATTGTGTTTTGTGAAAGATTTGGCCCATATTTCGTACTGCATTTTAAATGTAAAATAAATTGTTTTGTTAATATGCTTAAAAAACAGTTTTTTTGACACTATTTAAATTATCACAAAAATTTAATTCAACATAATGTAGCAAATTATATTTTATTATGATGAAACAATTAGAAGAAGGGTAAGTTTCGCTGCATCATAAAATAAATTGGGGAAGATAAGATACCTATAGAGACAGCAAAAATCACACACAAGCGATGAAATTAAAATACAACTTTTTAATTAAATTTTGATTAAACTTGTATTATAATTATCTCTTCTATACTGTACTTATCCATAACGACAATTTATTTATTCTAGCAAGAGTCACCAACTGCGAAGAACCTGAAAGACATTCTTATAGCTTTGAAGTTTAACAAGCCTCCACCAAACATCACCCCCGAAGTGCTATTCGCTAAGTTAGAAGCCAAACTAAAGGACACCATTCAGAAAGACGGTATGTGGTATTACACTCGATACAAAATTAATTCATATTAAAATGATTTTATCGTATTCAGCTAATTGATTTTGTATATATTATATCCTTTATCTAGTGATGCATTGGTTACATTAAATAAATGTAAATTAAATAATTTGACAGCACCAATCAAATGATTTACTTTTTATGAGCTGTAAAATGGTAATTCTTCTATAGTAATTGTATACAATCTGATTACACTATCACATTTTTGATAGTTCATAACAAAAGAATTGTTTCCACTGTATTTGAAATTCAATTTCTGATGATTTAAAAGATGAAAGTATCTCTCATCACGTTTAAAGGGTTAATAAACATAATTGAATTTATAATGACTTATCATTATCATTCAGCTAAACGAAAGGACACTGTAAAAGTTAAAGTACCAGGTATGTGCATCATCATCATCATTCAATATTGATTAGAGATGAAACGGATAGTGGTTTGGCCGGATACCAGATATCCGGCCAGCTGCTAGGCCGGATAGCCGGATATCCGGCGGCCGGATAGTTGGCCCATTGTCTCGTTGCATGTCGTGACGAGTTTAGCGCCGCACAGGTGCTTCGAACGCGATCAGTGGGTCTATTAGTAGACTAGACTAGTCACACTTTTCGAAAATCGAATCAGTCTGAATATAATGACAGATTTTGCCACTTGTCTAGGGGGCAGATCAATTCGGGCGATTTCGGTTGCCATCGTAAGTGTGTGATTGAATAGCGAAAATTAAATAAGTTTACTTGCTGCATAATCTAACTGAACTGCATCATGACATCAAGCCATCAGTGAAAAAAAGATCACCTATTTGGCAATAGTTCGACTTAACAGATATTTACAAATAGAGTATTCGTCATTACAGTGAATAGCCCAGAAAAAGAAATTAGTTTTTTTAAAGGCCTTAATATGGCTTTTTGTAACTTTTTGGACTTTAAATAAAAGCCGTGATTATTATAAGCCATTTTATTGATGTTTACCTCAAAGATTAATGTTTCATTTTATGATTAGGTAATTGTCGTAGTTTTTTAATATCCGGTATCTGGCCGGATAGTGAGTTACTATCCGGTATCCGGCCGGATAGTAAATTTAGGCCGGATATCCGGCCTACCGGATAGTTACCGGATATCCGTTTCATCTCTAATATTGATGTTGTGAAGACTAAATGTACCTTTGTACTCACATTAGTAGGTTGTGCAGATTGAGAGATATTTGCATGAAAATCTTTGTTTATAGGAAAAATAGTAGAAGCTCTTTCACGCCTAAACCACTGAACCGATTTTGATGATATTTGGCATAGAGATGGTTTGAGTCCCGGGAAAGGACATAGGATAGTTTTTATCCCGGTTTTTGAAACAGGGACGCGCGCGATAAAGTTTTTCTGTGACAGACAAAATTCCACGCGGTCGAAGCCGCGGGCGGAAAGCTAGTATGAATATAATTTTAATTCTAAACTTAGAAGTTTTTATTCATAATTTCAGGTGAACAGCTTGTAGGTAAGCCGTTATACAACAAGGCAATAACAGAAAAGGACTGGAAAGACATCGAGAACGTGTTCACTGAGATGTTTGAAGAATACCGCTGTAGGAGAGAGACGCTCATCACCAGATTGGAGTGCACGATACAGAGTTTTGAGGTAAGAATAACAATGTCTTTATTTATACACTAGCTGACCGAACTTTGTTCCGCCTTAATGGCAATAAATAAGCAGACTTTTTTTTTATTTCGAACGGGATAAAAAAGTATCCTATGTCCTTCTCCTGGCTCTAAACTAGCTCCCTGACAATTTTCAGCTAAATCGGTTCAGCCGTTCTTGAGTTATAAGTGGAGTAACTAACACGACTTTCTTTTATATATATATAGATAGATATAGGTATACAAAGCAAGAGTAAGTAAACATAAAAAATAAATAAAAACATATGCTGAATAGGCGCCCGCTCAGCAAAAATCGCGACATGACACAAACGTCATGCCGAGAAGCTGGTTTTCAGCGGGAACCAATGCGTGATGATGATTGCGCGCCCATCTGGTCGAGACGGTTTAATCAGACAGTGTCAGACAGGTTATAGGCGAGTTACAGTCTGATGTCACAGTGAGCTGGTCAGTCTACTGGCCATAAGGGCGCGCAATAGGGGGCCTTGTAGTCGCCAGGTGAGCACTTACACCCGTTCGTTCGTTTGTTTCCATCCGTCGGCTCATCTAGTGCATTGGTTCCCAAATCACTTACCATCAGGTGATCCGTCTGCTCGTTTGCCTCCTGTCACATAAAAAAAATCAGGTGATCCGTCTGCTCGTTTGCCTCCTGTCACATAAAAAAAAAAAAGTAAGTGGTAAAATAAAGTTATTTCACTCTTTAAAAAATGGTGGATTATAATGAACATTTATTTTCTAGTGGTCCGATCGCCTCAAAACCAAGAAGGACGTCATCCAATCCACGTACCGTCCGAAACGCGAGCAGCTCAAAGTCAAGCCGGACGTCCGGCTGTCCGACTTCCTAGCCGCCCGGACATCGCTGCTTCAAGTGGAGAAAACATCCAGCGTATCTGTCCGGAAGAACACAAGAAGTGATGTCAATAAAGTTGTCATAGGACAGGTAAGATTTACCAGAGACGTTAAGTCAATAGGCTAGATGAAATTTCAATTATTTGTCCATCAGACAGATAATTAGAAAATATTAGACTCGTATTTTTTATGTTCTTTCATAATTAAATAATAAGAGTAGGCGCACAACGTTGATTTTTAGTTGGCCGATAGTTGTGCCCGATTTTAAATTGTATGAAGAATCGGCCAAATCGAATCGGCGTAGTGTGTGCACTCCCATACATGCCCATACTGATCAACTGCCCGACTAAACTATCGGCTGACGAAAAATCAACGGTGTGCGCCTACTCTAAAAGTGCTACATCGAGTTGAAATGTCGTGTGACGTCACTTTTGCGTAGATTTTTTACTCAAATGTGACGTCACGCGACTTTTAACTCAATATAATACTGTAATGATTCGATTATGATAAAAAATAGAAAAATACGTGTCCAATATTTTTTTATTATCTGTCTGATGGACTATATAGAATTTCGATTTCACTACCCAGTCATCATTCCAATTTCTTTTTTATTTCCATAACGCAATACCTACATACGAGTACATAATAAGTTGACGCTAAGGTGAGATTATATGGATGTTAAAAAAGGTTGAAGAGAGTTTGAATTTTAGTAGCCCGTCAGTTAATTTATCAAAAAATACTCGAATTATGTATTTTTCACTTTTTCAAACTAATAAAAATTGACATAGGTAAAGCGCGTCAAAATTCAATTAAAAGTGTAGCACGGTGTGACATCACGCGGAACTTCAAGTCACCGTAACTTCGTAATTACTTGTTTAATTGATGAATAAATCTATTGTTTTAGGTCCCCGACAGAGGAGGGAGGCCAAACGAACAACAGCCTCCACCTCCAGAAATGCCTTCGTGGCAGCAGCGGACTGCGGGCCCTCAGGTATACGGGATTCATCATCATCATCATCATCTTCCTCCTACTAATATGATGACAGAATTTAAGGATTTACCCCAGGAAGGCACCCACGGTGAAGAATCTAGAGCGCTCTTTCCCGCGTATTCTGGAGACAAAGGATGCCAAAAGTCAGCTTCGAAGGACCTTGCTAGCCTCGTAGAAATACCGACCGCTTCACCGAGTGATCTTCCGACCACTTTACCGAGTGACCTACCGACCGCTTCACCGAGTGATCTTCCGACCGCTTCACCGTGTGCCTACCGACCGCTTCACCGAATGATCACCCGACCACTTCACCGAGTGACTTACCGACCGCTTCACCGAGTGACTTACCGACCGCTTCACCGAGTGACCTAACCGACCGCTTCACCGAGTGACCTACCGACCGCTTCACCGAGTGACCTAACGACCGCTTCACCGAGTGACTTACCGACCGCTTCTCCGAGTGACTTACCGACCGCTTCACCGAGTGACTTACCGAACGCTTCACCAAGTGACTTACCGACCGTTTCACCGAGTGACTTACTGACCGCTTCACCGAGTGACACCGTAATACCACTGCAACCGTGGACCGTTGTACTACAAAAACGCCCTAAAAAGGTTACAAAGCAAAAGGGCCGACCGCAACGCCGTCGCAACAGCCGCGCGAGACGGAAGGCCCTCAGATTAGAGAAGCAAATCGCAATCGCAGCGGAAACGCAGCGCGAATTGCCTTCCACCTCTAAGGTGTTGAAGGCACAAAGTGTCATGATACCACCACCACATATTCCCTCCATTTCAAAGGTTTCTACTATGGTACAAAGTGTCATGATTCCTTCACCATATATGCCATCCACTTCTAAGGTGTCGGCTCAGACACAAAGTCTCGTGAAACCACCATCACCAAAGCATATCCCATCCAGCTTCAAAGTACCACCACCGACCCCCATCTCTAAAGTGTATACTGAGGCACAAAGTGACATGAAAGCATCACCATCATCAGAGCATATCCTGTCCACCACAAAATTACCACCAGCATCACCAGAGCATATGCCTTCGACTTCCAAGTTACCACCATCACCACCACGACCCAAGCCCATTTCTAAGGTGTCGACTGAGGCACAAAGTGTCATGATTCCACCACCACCAGAGCATATCCCTTTCAGCTCCAAGTTAGCACCAACTACGCCTATCTCTAATGTGTCGACTGAGGCACAAAATGTCATTATATCACCACCACCAGAGCATATGCCTTCCACCTCCAAATTACCACCACCTACGCCCATTTCTAAGGTGTCGACTAAGGCACAAAGTGTCATGATACCTCCACCAACAGACCATATGCCTTCCACCTCCAAATTACCACCACCACCGACGCTATCTAGCCAGTCAAAGAGACAAACTCCGAGAGGGCATCGCGGTCGGCGGACGGCTTTGGCGACCCCTGAAAAGCAACCTGGGATTGTGCCTTCCAAAAAGCGCCCTCGACTTGAAACCAAGTCTCCCGAGGAAACCAAACGCACGAAAACCACCGCGAATCCTAACGGACGGTGATAGATCAGAGTCAATTGGAACTGCAAATAGCAGTCACCACCGTCCCGCAAGAATCGCTTTCTTCGAGCCAGGCAAGACAACTTCAGGATGCCGTCGAAGATAGCATCTTGCAAGTAGTCCTGTCTCCGTCTCAGACCGTTCTAGCTCCATCTTTCCGCGGGCGCCCCTATCTCTATCAAGGGGCCTTAGCGATGTGGTGCGAGGATACGTACGCTCGTGATTGGCTAAAAAACGCTCTAAAATCCATACCATCTCCCATCCCTGATACCACTTTAGTAGTCGTGAAACTTTCCGACTTGAAGAGGAAGATCAGAGCCGGTCTTCTTTTGCATACCTTTATCACCGACGCGGCGATGATTCAGAAAGTCCTTTGCTCCCAGAACCCTTGGTACCAGGTCGATACCTGGCAATGCTTGAGTATGTCGGTGAAGGAAGGTGATGGTCATAGGCATTTACCCCCCAAATACAAGGAGGTATATATGACCTTGGGGATTCCTGAAGAGCAGAAACAGGCTATATTAGACAGAGGCCGAAGGGTGTCTCATTTATCGGGAGGCGGATACATCCGCTTCTTGGGCAAGGATGAAGAGGCCACCAACACCAACAGAGAAGTGAAGAATTCAACAGAATCGTCCATCTCAGCTCCCCATCAGGGTCAGAGCAAGATGGAGTATAAACTCTCCTAACCTAAACGTAATCTTAACCAACTTCCAGCAATCGCGCCGGCGATTAGCTTTAGTGCTGGAAGGCTAACAACAGAACCGTCCAAGAGCCATGGATCAGAAACAAAATCTGCGGCCTAAACAACACAGGGGGTGAAATACTTGTAAATACCAATCACCAGTGGGCGGGGCACATAGCTCGTAGAGACGATGGCCGTTGGGGCAGAGAAGTTTTCGAGTGGCGGAAGACGTAGCGTGGGCAGGCCTCCCACTAGGTTGACCGACAATCTGGTCAGGGTCGCGGGAAGAGCCTGGATGCTGGCAGCGCAGGACCGGTCATTTGTCCAGGAGTGGACGTCATTTGGCTGAAACGAACGAACGCAATCACCAACTTGACTACTTGAAGCTTGCAACGGCCAAGACAGGCTCGCTTTGTGTTGTGATCAGGGTTGGTTGGAGTAGGAAGATAAATCACAAATCTCGCACAGTGGCCCAATCGAGAGGCTAAGTGCGATTTGATTGCATTGCTAATCCATCAGGGATAAGAAGAGGGAGGAGAAATTAGACCAGGTATTTCTATGTCATCATCATCAGGTCATTTCGTCTCCACTGTAGAAATTAAAACTCTGTCTTATACAGGGTGGAATTTTGTAATGTCACCTGGAGGGAAAGTACTCTAAATATTGTAGATAGAAAAAAATTCTCAAAAAAAACATTCCTTTATTTTTGAAAAGAAATAGAACTGCATTCAAAGATTTCCAAAAATTTGCTTGCTACACCCTGGAATCGAACCAACTAAAATTGTTAAAAATTACACCCTGTATTTTTATTGCATCGATCGTTAGGGTTAAGTATAAGGATGAAATCTCTCTAACAAACTTGATAACTTGTTTGTTTTCCTAACAATAAAATAAAATAAATCAAATGAAAGGAAAACCATGAAATCGTAAATTATCTTAATTATTTACAGAAAATTGTATGGTATGGTAGTGAATTTTCGAAAAATTCTCGAAAATCTATGAATGCAGTTCTCTTTCTTTTCAAAAATAAAGGAATGTTTTCTTTCAGTAAAATGTTCTATCTACAGTATTAAGAGTACTTTTCCTTCAGGTGGCATTACAAAATTCCACCCTGTATACCAGAGGCAAATGGAGGATTTGGTCTACAACCCCCCTTTCTGGTCGGATGGTTTAGGGAGGACTAATGTTCGCCTATTTGTCCCTTAGGCCCGGAATCCACCAAGGCGGAGCAGAACGGATAATATTTTTTTTTATAAAAAGTCATATAACTCATTTATTTTTTTAAATAGGCTTTTAAAAAGCAATTTTACACGACCCAGTATTAACCCTACCACTGCCTCGGGACAATAAATGGGCCAGTGCTGAGAAGCAGCGCAAGAAAGTCAGTCACTACTGTCAGTCTCCTTTTCAAGGGTTTATAGTCTTTAAAATATACAAATTATAGTCATAAGTATTGATTTTAATTACCTTGGTGGACTTGAATATACTTGAAAATAACCAATCAGATTTCATTATTTCCATTTCTCTTCTCCGCTTTGTTCCGCTCCGCTCCGTCTTGGTGGAAACCGGATCTTAGTCGCCACAGTGGGTGAAGCGGACCTATTTTCAAACAAAACTACCATACAAAACTTAAATATTTATTTATTTGTTACATGAATCTCAAAGGGACAGGACAGCACGGTAACTAATTATGTTCACCGCTTGCTTTGCATATTACTTATTATCCATTAGCTTTTGCCCGCGGCTTCGCCCGCGTGCTATAGTCAGAGAAAGACCGACTTGTTGAAGCTTATCGTTGTAATATGGCCAAGTAACTCGATGTCGTCATAATTTACTATAAAATAGAATATAGTGATTAATTACAATATAATTACGCGCGAGCGATAAGGATGGGTAGCTTGGGGTCATTGGACAAAATTCTACGTGCTCACGGACCAAGCTTTATTCAAATGCAATCTCCAAAAGGCTGAAAAAAATTCTCAGGTATTTTTTTTCGTTTGAAACTTCCTTCTCTTGGAAAAGTGGTTGTATTTGAGCAGTAGAATCAAACCTTTTTTATATATCCGTCATTTTGTAGACCAATGGGGTCAATCTGTATACAGGGTGTCCCAAAATTAACACGTCACACTGACACCAGAGGTAGCTAGGCATAATAAGCACCGAACAAGCCTATGTCCATAGAAAAGTTTAATGATGATTGCTTTGATATAATAAGACCAATTTGCAATTTTTGTGATTTTTCAAAATGGACATTGTTCTTGATTCATGTGTCTCATCAGGCCCATCTATGTCCAGTGTCAGTGTGACGTGCCAATTTTGAGACAGCCTGTATTTTTGTTATGTATATAGGGTGGTCGCGGCGGCGGTCGCGGTGGCGGCGGCGGGCGCGGTGGCGGTCGCGGCGGCGGTCGCGTTCAAGGCGGCTACAGCCAGGCTACTGGTGATGGCAGGTAAAAAGGTTGATTCTTTTTTAAAGCATTTATGTAAAGATTTCAATATGGCCGCTTCATGATGGCGGATTACAATTTATTCTTAAACTCATCAATATGGGTGAAAGAGTTAAAAAATAAATTGTTAATTAAAAAACATAGTTAAATTAGTCTGCGTTATTGTATTGCGGCCTACGCATAGCAAGTGTGAAATTAATAATGTAATTTTTCATTGCTTGAATGTTTATTAAATAACTTACAATTTTATTTAATGTAAGTATGATAGATGATCCCCTCGCTTCCCTTGATATACCACTTTACGGAGACCTCACGCGACTTTATAATAGAATCTCATTAAATAGAAGGCACTATTTTGTTCATTTGCCTACACTCATGCACGTTAAAAAAACATTATTATTCAGCTAAATACAAAATGTGTTTATTCACATTACAGACCACAGACAAGTCCGGCAGTTCCAAACCAAAACCGCAACTACCAGACCTACGAAGTACCACCAGGCGGTTATCAGAACCATAACCAAAACTCTGGCGGTTACCAGAACCACAACCAGAACTCTGCCGGTTACGACAGGCAGAACTCTGGCGGTTTCGACAGGCAGAACTCTGGTGGTTACAACCAGAATCACGGTGGTTATGATAGAAGAAATTCTGGTGGTCACGGAGGATATGCCCAGTCTCAGAGTTACGATAGCATGGGGAGTTACAACCAGGGTTACAGTCAAGGTGAGAAGCAAATTATTATTTACTTATGAAACTTATTGTACACCACACAAGACAAAAAAAAGAAAAATACCTACCATTTTTTCTTCAATATTCATAAGTTACATTTCGGTAATTGAGGTCCCTTTTTTAGTAAGAGTCAATTTCCAAATAAAAAAACTGCATTGTTTTAGCTGACTCTTGACTGATGCAATGAGCCAAAAATATAGGGTGTGTATTTTTGTCTAGAATTATTAATTTTTTAAATAACTTACCAAACTTACAGTATTACTTCTTACCAAAATCTATGACTCGTTCCATTTTTACTATTTATAATTTCAACGGCCATCATTACAAAAGTTATACATTTTAGAAAGAAAGAAACAAAAAACTTTCTTTGACAACAAAATATTAGCGCACACATTTACATCATTAAGAAAAAAAAAGTTGTCAAAAAGGTCGCAATTCAGAAATTCAGTATCATCAGTACATATTTTACTTCCACTCAAATTTAAACTTTATAGGTGGTGGCGGAGGCTACAACAAAGGCTACCAAGGCCAAGGCCAAGGACAGGGCTACCAAGGCCAAGGACAGGGCTACCAAGGCCAAGGACAGGGCTACCAGGGCCAAGGACAGGGCTACCAGGGCCAAAGGGGTCGCGGCGGCTACCGCGGGCGCCGTTGATATTACCCCCCTAGGCTGGGGGACAAGATAAGATAGTATATGTTGACTTTTTCAGTTGCTAGTTGATTCGTATAGGAAATATAGGGTGTGCAGAGAAGTGAGGTTTTTCTTCTGTCGAACTATATATAAATTGTTGAAACTATTTATGATAGTAAGCTTGAACTCGACACATTTTACGACCATAAAATGAGATTCCTCAATTTGTTTTTAGTAATTTGTAGAAAAACATANTATGAGACAAAAATTTTGGTTGTCGGCTCTCGTACTATAACTACAACCCGTATCATTCATACGGTCCCCCAACATGGCACAAATTGGTGACCCCGACGAAGAAGATGATCCCGACGAAGTTGCCACAAATTGGTGACCCCGATTATATAATTGAAGATAAACGTACCAAACCAACGTGATGTGAGTCGTAACCTCCATCACCACCATCTTCGGCATCAGACTCCGCCAGCTTTCACCATCTGACATGGAATCAAATTGGTTACCCCGATTGAGCAGAGAAAAATTCGAGTCCGAGTCATCAACATCAATTATTGTGATATCAACATCAATCAGCGAAAATGAAGTCTCAGCAGTTCAACAGTCAATGACAATATCAGCAAAAATTCAAGACCAAACAATGGAAAATGTGCTAACTCAGCTACAAGTGCAATTGAAATAATAATTGTGCCATGACCGTGAAAATTTGCGACGCAGCAGTTACAGGCCAAGGTCGCCTAAGTCAAGTCAGAAGATTTTGTTATTATAATATGTATCAACGTATGCAGAAAAATGCGAAAATGTGACGTCATTTACCTTTGATCTATATCGTATAAATAGTCGCGCAGTTCATATTAATAAACAGATTAATATCAGAGACTAACTACAACCCGTGTATCATTCATACGGTCCCCCAACATGGCACAAATTGGTGACCCCGACGAAGAAGATGATCCCGACGAAGTTGCCACATCTAGCATAGTACATAAATATTAGATGCTGGCTATTATGTTTAGCAAAGATTGTCTTTGTGATTTTTAGGTTAGATAATAGCTTGATTTCGGGGTAATTATTAATAAATAATGCAAGTTTCAACAAAATAAATGAACGAAACGACGAAACTAACCCTTTGCCCTTTGGCGCCTTTTTCTTCTTCTTTTTCTTATCTCCCGATGGTTTACCTAAGTACTTCTGCAAATAGGCTTTTTGATCTATTGTTGTAGACATTTTAAAACGTTAAAAATCACTCAAATAAATTAAATTTCATAAAATGAAACACGAACAACCAGCACCAAATTACTTGATTTGACAGCGTCATGCGTTTATTTANATGTTCCATAGAAGATTTTTCTCATAAAAATCTAACCCTATCATGCTTTCAGTATACTGTATACTGCCAGTATACTGGCCTTGGTAACGTCGTTTCTCAAATCCCACTATATTTTGATGAAAGCGTGCCCCTTGTTCTTGCGAATAAGCCCCCATAATTATCTATAAATATATCCCAATGAGAATGGGACGTGCATCTTTAGAGACATTCTACTATGAAGATGGAAAATTCAAATCGTTATAACTTCTTAAAAAACAAATATTTTCGATTTGTAATCGCACTTTTTTATATAAATTTGCTTATATAATCAGAATATAATAAGTAAAATCCATGCGCAAAAAAAAAAATTTTTTTTGTCGACCGGTGTAATCAATTGTTATGACATTAATTAATGCCGTCTGGGACTCAATCGGTTAAAATATACAAATTATAGTCATAAGTATTGACTTGAATTACCTTGGACTTGAATATACTTGAAAATAACCAACCAGATTTCATTATTTCCATTTCTCTTCTCCGCTTTGTTCCGCTCCGCTCCGTCTTGGTGGGAACTGGATCTTAGTCGCCACAGTGGGTGAAGCGGACCTATTTTTCAAACAAAACTACCATACAAAACTTTATTTATTTATTTGTTACATGAATCTCAAAGGGACAGGACAGCACGGTAACTAATTATGTTCACCGCTTGCTTTGCATATTACTTATTATCCACTAGCTTTTGCCCGCGGCTTCACCTGCGTGCTATAGTCAGAGAAAGACTGACTTGTTGAAGCTTATCGTTGTAATATGGCCAAGTAACTCGATGTCGTCATAATTTACTATAAAATAGAATATAGTGATTGTTTATTTGCATAAATTATTTAATCATTGGTGATCAAACATTCTACTATTCAAATGCAATCTCCAAAAGGCTGTAAAAAATATCTCGGGTATTTTTTTTCGTTTGAAACTTCCTTATCTTGGAAAAGTGGTTGTATTTGAGCAGTAGAATCAAACCTTTTTTTATATATCCGTCATTTTGTAGACCAATGTGGTCAATCAGTATATAGAGTGTCCAAAAATGGACAATGTGCTTGTTTCATGTGTCTCATCAGGCCCATCTATGTCCAGTGTCAGTGTGACGTGCCAATTTTGAGACAGTCTGTATTTTTGTTATGTGTATAGGGTGGTCGAGGCGGCGGTCGCGGTGGCGGCGGCGGGCGCGGTGGCGGTCGCGGCGGCGGTCGCGTTCAAGGCGGCTACAGCCAGGCTACTGGTGATGGCAGGTAAGAAGATTCTTTTTTAAAGCATTTATGTAAAGATTTCAATATGGCCGCTTCGTTCGTTCGTTTCAGCCAAATGACGTCCACTGCTGGACAAAGGCCTCCCCCAAGGTTTTCCATAATGAGCGGTCCTGCGCTGCCAGCATCCAGGCTCTTCCCGCGACCTTTACCAGATCGTCGGTCCACCTAGTAGGAGGCCTGCCCACGCTACGTCTTCCAGCCCGTGGTCGCCACTCCGGAATTTTCCTGCCCCAACGGCCTTCGTCTCTACGAGCTATGTGCCCCGCCCACTGCTAATTGATTTTAGCAATATAACCGCTTCATAATGGCGGATTACAATTTATTCTTAACCTCATCAATATGGGTGAAAGAGCTTAAAAAATAAAATTTTAATTAAAAAGCACAGTTAAATTAGTCTGCGTTATTGTATTGCGGCCTACGCATAGCAAGTGTGAAATTAATAATGTAATTTTTCATTGCTTGAATGTTTATTAAATAACTTACAATTTTATTTAATGTAAGTATGATAGATGATCCCCTCGCTTCCCTTGATATACCACTTTACTGAGACCTCACGCGACTTCATAAGAGAATCTCATTGAATTGATGTTGCACTGTTTTGTTCATTTGCCTACACTCATGCACGTTAAAAAAACATTATTATTAAGCTAAATACAAAATGTGTTTATTCACATTACAGACCACAGACAAGTCCGGCAGTTCCAAACCAAAACCGCAACTACCAGACCTACGAAGTACCACCGGGCGGTTACCAGAACCACAACCAGAACTCTGGCGGTTACCAGAATCATAACCAGAACTCTGCCGGTTACGACAGGCAGAACTCTGGCGGTTTCGACAGGCAGAACTCTGGTGGTTACAACCAGAATCACGGTGGTTATGATAGAAGAAATTCTGGTGGTCACGGAGGATATGCCCAGTCTCAGAGTTACGATAGCATGGGGAGTTACAACCAGGGTTACAGTCAAGGTGAGAATTTAATAGAAAGTTATTTCATATTCTTAAGATCACTGGCCTATGATCGCGCCGGCATTGCGATCTGCACGCGTTGGTGTGCTTGAAGCTTTAAATAATAGGCAGGTAACGCAGGGATCATGGAGACTTCATAGAGAAAAGATCTTCAATGGACATTCTGACCTTTAAAAAATCCCTAAAATGTAAAATACACACACAAGCTTCCCGATTATAGACAGTGACTCCCAGAACAAGTTGTAAAAACTGAAAATTGTATTTGAATATGTATACCTACTTGAATAATATTATCTAAAGTTTAGATAATATTATTCAAGTAGGTAGGTTGTCTAAACCAACTAATATAATATAATCACACACAAGTCCACAAGAAATAATATTGTAACGAACTCGATGTAGACAGTTGCCTTCCTGTGAACAATTATATTAATTAATACGAGTATACTTTTCAAAAGTTAACTTAAAATTGAAACGTTCTTCATACTGATTTTATAAATTTCATATTTGAAAGAAAAAAGTTTTTCTTTTATTATTTCAGTTTCGTTTGATGTCAAAAAAAATCTTTCTTAAAACAGGAGGTGGTGGCGGTTACAACAAAGGCTACCAAGGACAAGGCCAAGGCCAAGGACAGGGCTACCAAGGCCAAGGACAGGGCTACCAAGGCCAAGGACAGGGCTACCAAGGCCAAGGACAGGGCTACCAGGGCCAAGGACAGGGCTACCAGGGCCAAGGACAGGGCTACCAGGGCCAAAGGGGTCGCGGCGGCTACCGCGGGCGCCGTTGATATTACCCCCCTAGGCTGGGGGACAAGATAAGATAGTATATGTTGACTTTTTCAGTTGCTAGTTGATTCGTATAGGAAATATAGGGTGTGCAGAGAAGTGAGGTTTTTCTTCTGTCGAACTATACAGGGTGACTGGAACTGAACCCGCCATAGCTAATACGCGTATAGAGGAGGTCATTTGCTAACTATTGAACCATACTTTCTATGACTAAAGTTTCATAGTTTAGGAGATATGTAAATTTTTATACTTATTCCGAAATTTGACCTAAAAACGGCTTATTTTTTTTTCTCGCATGATTTTAACCGATTTTTTTATTTGATACTAATATCGAATAAACCTTTAGTCAAATAAAATAGATTTCAAATCCAGATAATGATTGAATAACTTGTTACGAGCCGCCAAAGTTTAACAAAAGTACAAACCATGATAAAAAATTCAAGTTCGAATTCGATTTAAAAAAAAACTAATGGTGATAATGGATTGCCAATGATCTTAAAAATATCTTTACCTTCTCTTCTTTCCAATGATATATCACACGTAGTAATTAGATATTGAAAATTATTAAAAATTCAAAGTTTATGGAAGAAAATGGAGTAATAATAATAATACGAAAATTATTCATACAAAGTATCTTCAGACATCTCATATTTTCTGCTGTACTCCTTTTCATAACTATTTTTGTGTGTTTTTTGAAAAATTAATTCAAAATAATAATCACATTATGAAGAAAAGAGTTTACAAAAATTCAAAATCAACTTTGTATGGATAATTTTTGTATTATTACTCCATTTTCTTCCATAAACTTTGAATTTTTGACAAATTTCAATATCTAATTACAACGTGTGATATATCATTGGAAAGAAGAGAAGCTAGAGATATTTTTAAGATCATTGGCAATCCATTATCACCATTTTGTTAATTTAAATCGAATTCGAAGTAGAACTTTTTATCGTGGTTTGCACTTTTGTTAGACTTTGGCGGCTCGTAACTAGCTATTCAATCATTATCTGGATCCGAAATTTATTTTATTTGAATAAAGACATATTCGATATTAATATCTAATAAAAAAAACTGTTGAAATCACGCGAGAAAAAAAATTTAAGCAGTTTTTAGGTCAAATTTCGGAAAAATCTGAAAAAGTTTAAAAATTGACATATCTCCTAAACTATAAAACTTTAGACATAGAAAGTAGGGTTCAATAATTAGCAAATGACCTCCTCTATACGCGTATTAGCTATGGCGGGTTCAGTTCCAGTCACCCTGTATAGAAATTGTTGAAACTATTTATGATAGTAAGCTTGAACTCGACACATTTTACGACCATAAAATGAGATTCCTCAATTTGTTTTTAGTAATTTGTAGAAAAACATAATAATAATGTATAAACAGCTGATGATTACCATAGTTTCAACATTTTACTTGTTCTGCAAACACCCGGTATAGAAATGTACACGACGTACACACAAGTAAAGTTCACTCGCCTTCGTGAGTTGCAAGAACTATACAATGTTTGTGATTAATGAAACTAAAGTTGTGAATCTATATTTCCTATGAGATCAACGTGATAAACAATGTTTTCTCAGGATTCGTGAGAAGAAATTTATCTAAATTAAATCATAATAGAAATATGCATATTTTAATTCAAATTTTAATTGAAACCTAATAGAATAAGGTACGTAATAAGATAAAGGTAATTTGAAAATTATAAATAACTTGAAAAAATCGAACTGCCTAAGGCGGGAATTGAAGTTCGATTTTTTCAAGTTACTTATTTATAATTTTCAAATTAGTTTGAGATGCGACTCTTAACGCTAAAAATTAAATAACTAAGATAAAGGTAATTCTTCCACAGTTGAGTAAAAGTTTTTTTTAGTTAATTTTAGATAAAATTTCTTCTCATTATTTATAATTATGTTTATTAATATACATCAGCTTTATTAGTCCAAAACGACGTACTAAACGCTTCTAGCGCTCACTAGTTGGCGCCAATTGCGAGTGACACGCCTTACTCGACATGGCGCCAAGTGGGCGCGAACTCAAAAAAAATACATAAGTGATAAAAAGAATTTTTAATTAGGTCAATATTTATCGTGTATTTGTGATTGTGACTTAGATAATGCATAGGACTTGTACTAAATTATTATTTATAAAATAAAATTGTCGTGTATACAAAATAGCAAGGATGTAGCTATTTATAATGTTAACGCCAATAAAAAATAACTGGCATTCAAATCTGTCTATGTCCCTAGAAATCTAAATAAATGGCGTGGTTCCTTAAAACTGATACCCATTGAACCCAGGTTAAGAAACTCTATAACTTGAGATCTCCTAGCTAGATGACTGTAAGATGATATATCCCTGTATTACAAAATGTATTAGTAGGTGTTTGTCATCATAACTTTTAAACTAATAATAAAGCAATATTCATCGAATGTGTGCCTATATCTACATTTGTTTTATTTTCATTATATTACTTTTGTATTTATATCCGAAAATATGCGCTTAGTTGGCGCCAATGTACCAGGAACTCTTACGGTACTACTTCGGTAGCCATAATAATTTCATGTTAGCAATAATTATCTAATGAAAATCTACACTCAGCTTAGTTGCTCTCTGACAAATAGCTAACATATCTGCCAAGTTCTTTGTAGCTAAATGATTGGTGTTATTTACTCGTTATCTCATAAATAGTAACAAGTTTTTTTCATGTTATTCTATAATTAATTCTTAATCTAGTTCCTTTCATCCACGAAGACGCGCCCCACCAATTTTTGGCCGAGGGAAGCGCGGGGTGCGGGGAGTTTGATCCGAGCAATCCGAGCGTCATTATTGTAGTGTGCGTGTGCACTCATGCATAATTTAGCGTGTACCGATAACACTCAGACATTAGCGAAAGAATGGTGGGGCGCGTCTTCGTGGATGAAACGATCTATATTATTGTAAAACTACTACTAAATCAATCATTTTTAACTCGATCCTCGCCTTTCTCTGAAATGAATATAGGGATAGATTTTAAAGAAGTGTGTCTAACTTCAATTGATAAACTAACTTTTAGTAACTATACCATTAAGCTGAATACTACAATCATAGTGCAGTAGTGAGGGCTTTCGTAAATACGACAATTTCCCTCGCCAGTTGGCGCCATGGTAGAGTTAACAGCATTGTTGTGTTCCGGCAGTTAGAGGTAAGATAGCCAGTTCCTCCGTGGTTGAGGATTCAAGTTGAAGCTCGCTTCCACCTTCGGCCTGATCGTCAATTACCATCAGGTGAGATACAGGCCAAGAGCTTCCTCGTTGTGGATAAAAAAAAAGTCATCATCATTTCAGCCATAGGACGTCCACTGCTGAACATAGGCCTCCATCAATGCTGTCCATGTTGATCGATTGGTAGCGGCCTGCGTCCAGCGCTTCCCTGCTACCTTTATAATGTCGTCGGTCCACCTTGCGGGTGGACGTCTCATGCTGCGTTTTCCGGTACGCGGCCTCCATTCCAGAACCTTGCTGCCCCATCGGCCGTCAGTTCCGCGTACTATGTGCCCTGCCCATTGCCACTTCAGCTTGCTAATCCGTCGGGCTATGTCAGCGACTTTAGTTCGTTTACGGATCTCCTTATTTCGGTATCATGGTAGAGTAAGTTCCTGTTATTCGCCAGAAGTGGCGCCAACTGATGAGCGCAATTAAGGATACCCTATAATGACTTTTCTGTCCCATTTCATTCAAGGAGAAAACGTATTAGACTGTTTTTGCTTAGAAAATAGATGTAACAAAATTTATTTTATATAACACAGTGCCACTGTAACATTAGTTCTGGAGTAACACGTTAAAAGTAAGGTTAGCAAATTAATTCATGTACGACTTCCAAGCCTTAATAAAGCAATGTAAAAGTAAATAGTTGATGTAATACATAAGCTCTACTAATAGTGAATATTATTAATATAATAACTGTTGATGAATATTGTTTTCAATATTTTGCGATGTTGATCTTTTTATTGTGTATATTTATTTATAATTAATATTATGGTTTATTTAAACATCGCAAAATGTTCTCTTCTCTCATGTCACTGTTACAATACTTACTCTGAATATGGAATTTGAATGAACTCCGTATGGATCTTATTTACTTAAATATACATTTTTGCAATTTATTTACGTTATTTTATTTCATATACCTGATTATTAATAGACCTTGGTAATTATAAGAATCGATTATTGGCCGACTACAGACCGAAACCAAACTTTTTAAGGCTTTTTTTACTTCACCTGTCCATCGTATCTCTTAACCTTAGAGAATTATTTGCTCGAAAACTCGTCATTGGCGAAACCAGACCAGTGTGCTTCAAATGCACACCAAATAATAATAAAATCTAAAACTTGTCGATTGTTTTTTCACGGGGATCATACATGGACATGAAATAAAAGAGGATACTCTGTACAAAATTTTCTTATTATTAAAAATTTACCCTATTTCATTATCTCTCAAGTGATGAAAGAATAAATATTTGAATCTTGGAAATCATCACAATGTGAGCATCGGGCCTTTCCACCGCGTCTGGCCAGCGTGGGGAGTGTAGGCCATTATCTTCCATTTCATCATCATCATCATCTCGNAAGTAAGGTTAGCAAATTAATTCATGTACTACTTCCAAGCCTTAATAAAGCAATGTAAAAGTAAATAGTTGATGTAATACATAAGCTCTACTAATAGTGAATATCTTCTAAATATATAAAAGGAGAAACTGACTGACAGATCAACGCACAGCCTAAACGGCTAAACGTAGGCACTTGAAATTTGGAAGGGACGTAGCTTAAGTACCGTAGAGGTGCACTAAGAAAGGAATTCCCTAAATTCCCACGGGAACGGGAATTAGCGGGAAAAACGGGATTCACGCGTACGAAGTCGCGGGCGGCCGCTAGTTATTAATATAATAACTGTTGATGAATATTGTTTTCAATATTTTGCGATGTTCGTCTTTTTATTGTGTATATTTATTTATAAAATGTTCTCTCATGTCACTGTTACAATAATTACTCTGAAGTATGGAATTTGAATGAACTCCGTATGGATCTTATTTACTTAAATATACATTTTTGCAATTGATTTACGTTATTTTCTTTCATATACCTGATTATTAATAGACCTTGGTAATTATAAGAATCGATTATGGCCGACTACCGACCGATACCAAACTTTTTAAGGCTTTTTTTACTTCACCTGTCCATCGTATCTCTTAACCTTAGATAATTATTTGCTCTAAAACTTGCCATTGGCGAAACCAGACCAGTGTGCTTCAAATACACACCAAATAATGATAAAATCTATAACTTGTCGATAGTTTTTTCACGGGGATCATACATGGACATGAAATAAAAGAGGATAATCTGTACAAATTTTTCTTATTATTAAAAATGTACCCCATTTCATTATCTCTCAAGTGATGAAAGAATAAATATTTGAATCTTGGAAATCATCACAATGTGAGCATCGGGCCTTTCCACCGCGTCTGGCCAGCGTGGGGAGTGTATTGTGTCCATTTCATCATCATCAGCATCACCATCTCAGCCATAGGACGTCCACTGCTGAACATAGGCCTCCCCCAATGCTTTCCATGTTGCTCATTTGGTAGCGGCCGCGTCCAGCGCCTTCCTGCTACCTTTATGATGTCGGTCCACCTTGTGGGTGGACGTTCCACGCTGCGTTTTCCGGTACGCGGCCTCCACTCCAGAACCTTGCTGCCCCATCGGCCGTCAGTTCTGCGTACTATGTGCCCTGTCCATTGACCCTTCAGCTTTGCTTTCCATTTGCTTCTAAATTAGAGTCGTGCTCCTGGAGTGGAGACTAAATGACCTGCTGATGATTCATTACAAGTCTTCGGTGCTCCATTTGTAAGCTTCTTCTTCCTGAGCTTTCCTCTTGCTTTGGTTTTCAAAGAACTTCTTTTCGTAGCCGTTGGAGCGGTCGACGCCGTCCCAGCGGTAGCCTGGACGGATGTTGAAACGGTTCGGAGGGAAGCTACCTTTGTATGTGGGTTTTTCTGCGAACAAAATTGAATTTGAAAGTAGTTAAAATGGATGCTGTAAAAGGTGAAACGTTAACAAATATGTATGTGAACATCAAGCCCGTCTGGCAGTGTGAAGATTCTAGGCCAAATTCTCAATTTCCCTCTAAATTAAAGAGGGTCATACATCCTGCAGTGGAGACTAGTGCCTGTTTTCACCATCAATCCCAAATTTTTAAGTGATCCCTATGAACACTAAATTCCTGTTAAAGCCCTTTTCAGGGACATTTCAATATAGCTAACCTTGCCATCTGGCTCATGTTGAGAAAAAAGGAATAAAGAAACTCAGTCACAGGAAACGAAATACCATGCACTTTTGTCATTAAAATAATGAAATCTACAGTATCTCTTTTAGACTAGGCGCAGACCACCGATTTTTAGTTGGCCGATAGTTGTGCCCGATTTTAAATTGTATGAAGAATCGGCCAAATCGAATCGGTGTAATGTGCGCACTCCCATACATGCCCATACTGATCAACTGCCCGACTAAACTATCGGCCGACGAAAAATCGATGGTCTGCGCCTAGGCTTCGAACGATTTGTGGTAGTCGACGAAGCACATGATGTGTCCTGCGTGCCCAAACAACTGCACGCAGGAAGATTTAATTAAGGCTACTGACAACGCCACTCTTGTAGTAGAAGCAGAGTTTTGGGCAGACACTGTGTAGTTTGTTGTCGACACGACAAGAAGAAGAAGAAAGATTTTTGTAACATATTCACCTGGTCCAAGATCTCCCCTCTCTCTCTTCTTGTCCCTGATGTAAGCGAGCATGGGATCGCCGTCTCGCTCAATCTCCTTGAGACTTCTCTCGAGGTCTTTGTCTCCCTTCATACGCGCGAGAGGCTTCGCGGCTTCCTTGATGAAGTCCTCGCGACGTGCTGTCTCAGCTTCTATTTGTTTCAGGCTGGAAAATAGGTGAAAAATGAAATGAATTGGAAAAAAGGTGTAAAAATGATATCGTTTTTTAAAAGAAGGTGTAAAAATGACATTGTTTGGAAAAAAAGCTGTAAAAATGACATTGTTTTGGAAAATAAGTGTAAAAATGACACTATTTGGAAAAAAAGTGTAAAAATGACATTGTTTGGAAAAGAGGTGTAAAAATGACATTGGAAAATAAGGTGTAAAAATGTCATTGTTTGGAAAAAAGGTGTAAAAAAGACATTGTTTGGAAAAAAGGTGTACTTTTTTACACACAAAATGACATTGATTGGAAAATAAGGTGTAAAAATGTGGCAAATCCTTAATAGATCATAGAAGAAACCAATATAAATCTAACACAAAATAAATTACTTTCTTAAAAGCAAGAGCTGATTGGGCAAATGTGGAAACACATCACATCACTTTAAGGAAGAAGAGAAAAGTTGATAAAAAGTAAACAGTTTTTTTACCCTTTGCTCCACTGCTTGTACTTTTCATCCAAGAACTTTTGGCGCTCAGCTTTTTCTTTTAGCTTTTGTCTTTCCTCTGACGTCTCTCTCTTGGCTGCAATGAAAATTAAAAATAGTTAAAATTACTACAAAGTAGGCGTTTGTTTTATTTTAAGTCACCTTTTAATAATATGGAATATTAGATGGCAGGTCTAAAAAGACTTCTTATAACAAAACGTGGGCGTACCCAGTCACTTTGATGGAACTAAGTCAAACTAAGTCTATCTGACCTTAAAAATTTGACTTGCCCCCTCCTGGTTGAAAAGCTGGGTACGCCCATGCATGAAAATAATCTTGTTTTATTTACCTTTCCTAGAAACAACTTGAGCATTCCTTCCTGATACGTCATCGGTCATCTTTTTGAATGCATCCTCCTCTCTCCTCCTAAATGATTCGTTTTCTTCCCGTAACTGCCGAGCGTCTTGTAGTCCTGCCAACTTCCCTTCCAGAGTTCTTTCCATTTTTTTATTCGTCGGTGGAGGATCATCGTCATTTCTCCTGTAACCCCTCTCTTTATTGGGCTCTCTCCTATCTTTTCTAGGCGGTGACAAGTCTGAACTACTATCTCTTTGTCTTTTATGATTTTTTGACGTCTCGGGTGAAGCTGATCGCCTCTTATTCTTCCGAGGAGGTGAAACATCTGAATCTGAGGACTGCTTTCTCGATTTTTGTACTTTTTCTCTCTTTAAATCTCTTGATTTTTGTTTATCTTTTCTGTATCTTTCGTCTTCCCTACTCCTGTCTTGTGACGTCTTTCTTTTACGAGGAGGTGAGAGGTCAGATTCACTCGACTGGTCTCTTTTTGATTTCGTTTTTGGCTGCCGTTCTTGGTACTTATCTTTTTTGGATTTCCTAGGAGGAGAACAATCAGAATCCGAAGAATCTTTCCTCGACCTCCGACTGTCCTTCCTTTTTTTATTTCTCTCAGGGGATTCAGAGTTAGATCTGCGTTGAGGTTCTTCAGCCGCACCCCATCTAGACGGTTTTCTAGCTCTAACTTTATTTTTGCCGTCTAATTCTGCTTTTCTGGGAGGAGATAAATCTGAATCATAATTTTTATTAGATCTTGACCGATTTGGTGATTCTCTACCTTTTCTGGGGGGACTTACGTCACTGTCACTTTTATTGTGTTTGTTTTTCCGTGGGGGACTGGCATCGCTGTGTCTTCTATTCTTGTGATTGTCAGACTTTTTTCTAGAAGGACTTGCATCACTATCTCTGCCTTTGTCACGTTTTCTAGGAGGACTAAAGTCATTGTCGGAACTATTTTGCTTCTTTTTCTTTGTCTCCTTATTATTTTTCTCATTAGGTCTGATTCTGGGAGGGGATACGTCTGAGTCTTTCTTCTGATCATCTTCTGAGTCGCTGTACATTTTTCCAAAAACCAGTTCATTCTCTTTCTCAGTCTCAGTGATGTCTTTCTTTATTTCTTGGATATTCAGTTTGCTATTGAAACCATCATCCTGAAACATTAAAATGCTAATTTATGTTGGTGTTAATCTTTGGAAAAAGTTTTAAATTTGCTACATAACAACAACATATAAATAAATGACAACATTAGGTATGAGAATGTGTTTACTATGAATGAATATTCAAATAATCTATTATTATTTAACAACTTCAAAAGAATTGTTCGGTTCATTTCAGCCAAATGGCGACCACTGCTGGACAAAGGCCTCCCCAAGGAATTCCACAAAGACTTTAATAGAATAAAAACAGAAAAAAAAATTAAAATATTCCCCATTTAGACAAGTATACCTGAGTGACAACTCTCCATTTGGAGCTGGTTTTGAATTGTTCCAGCTTCCTAATTTCCTCCGGCCTCTCATCTATGATCCCCGCAACCTGTGGGCCGTCTTCACCTTCGTCTAGTATGTCCAGTTCGTCACCATCTAACGGCCGCAACTTTGTTAGGTCAATGTCATCATCTATGATTTTGAAGCTGAAATTTTATTCAAACATAATTAAATATTAATGATAATTATGTTGGCTCTCTTCATGCTCAAAGGCGAAGTAGATGAGTAGCGAGCATAACATACATGAAATAAAAAGGTCTTTGAACCTTTTGAATTCGATACAATAAACAAGGTTACTTGATCATTATTTTTCAAAAGTAAACAATTTTAAATGTATAATAAAATTTTTTTTTTCATAAATTAATTTTGTAAAGTGATAGATGGTGTGCGTTTAATGCTGAGTTTAACTGATTAGTTATTCCTTGAACAGGAAGGAATCCAAAGATGAAAAAGTAATTATGTAGCATAATACATAAATATTAGATGCTGGCTATTATACGTTTAGCAAAGATTGTCTTTGTGATTTTTAGGTTAGATAATAGCTTGATTTCGGGGTAATTATTAATAAATAATGCAAGTTTCAACAAAATAAAAGGACGAAACCTGATGAAACTAACCCTTTGCCCTTTGGCGCCTTCTTCTTCTTCTTTTTCTTATCTCCTGATGGTTTACCTAAGTACTTCTGCAAATAGGCTTTCTGATCTATTGTCGTAGACATTTTAAAACGTTAAAATTCACACAAATTAAATAAATTTTATAAAATGAAACACGGTGAACACAACCAAATTGCTTGCTTGATTTGACAGCGTCATGCATTTATGACTGACATTGACAGTTGCAAGCACAGATAAAAAAAGTTTTTATTTTAATTTGAGTTTACAGCTTTGAGTTCTAGACTATCCCTGAGCTTTAACTACAGTTTGTAAATTATAGGTCACGCAACGCGAGTTGAGGCGTCAACACAAAAAATATTTGTAACTGTTATTACTCAGGTAACTAAGTTTTTAAGCTCCTGTATATTATGTAATTTACACCATTACAAATTGTCACTTAGTAAGCAATAAATATTTTGAATTTGAATTTGAATTATGTTTATGTTTGTTTTATAAGTCGTGTACTCTGTCCCTATTAACTTTTATGGAAGCTGTAACTTTTAGATAATAATGAGTAGGTTGTAAATAAAGTAAAAAGATCTTTTATTGCTGCAGCGGAAGGTACCATTTATTTGCGATTTTACGAGTAATAATTTATTAAACTAAGTAATCATCGTGTAGACAAATTAACAGAAGCGTGTCGTAATGATAATACTGCACTGTCGAGTGTTTATTGTTTAATAATCTTGATCCTGATCATCATCTCGGTCGTCATATCTGTCATCTCGGTCATCATCTCTCTGAAACGATAATATTAAGAAGTTGTTAATGAGGCCCCATAGATGCATGGCTTCATAACGCAGTGGTAAGTCGCTTAAACTTTTCCCAGTTTTATTGACTCATGTGTCCCAGGTTCAGACAGAAACAGAATCAACAATTGAGTTATAATAATATGTGAGTATTTCAATACAAGCTCATTCTATATTTTTACTCACTAAGTATCCCCGAACCTGAAATAGGTAGATACGTTTTTCATTTCATTTTGTCTACTCATACAATTTATTAAATCTAAATCGTCACACCCATTCATTTTTGAGATGTGAAATTAAACAAAATAAAGTTTAGTGTTTGTGAAGAGCAACTACCTTTAACACAGGTTGAATTGCTTCCAGTGACCTAACTAGGAATCAAACCCAGAGCCTCTGAGGCGAGAGTACCTCAACCACTAAGTCACGGTGTAGCTGTACTAGAAATTATAGAAGTTTTTTGGCCTTGCTTACCACTTTACTTGTCAAATAAGGATTGTAATTCAGTCCACTGTAATTCTGCAAAACGATTTAAATATTTGTAGTAGAATAAAATACAAAAAAGAAAGTGCAAAATAAAAAAAAACAAAGTTGATAAAAATAAAAATCAATTCTTACGTTATCATAAGACTGTAGAGGCTGTGCCTGATGTAAAAAAAGGAATTAATAAGTAGTTATTTAATGCCCCTTGCCTAAAAAGTATCAAAAGAAAATAATGTGAGACAGAATGAAAATGGAGCGCGACTGGAATTGAAACGCGAATGAATTGTAGACTTTTCATTAACGCAATCGGGGCCCAGTTCAGACGGCGTATACAAAAATCTTTGCCTGTTTTGATGGCCTCAACTCTCGTTGAGCGATTTATACACGCCCAAACCATTGAATTAAAATTAAACAAAATTTTGACACATTGAAAGCCTCGGGCAAAAGATTGTCTTATAAAATTGTAATATGAACTTACTCTGTATCGGCCCTATAAATAAAAACAATACAACATGTTATTATAGAGGCACATAATTAATAGGTAATTAATTTTATTAAAAATCTATTAATCATTTAAGCTATCGACGTACGCCATCGTATGAGTGGTAGTGACCATGTGGCTGAAAATAAAATAGACTTATTAAATACATAGCCTTTTACATTAAATACTTACTCAAAATAAATTAGCTTAAGAAAAACTTATAATTAAAAGCATTTTTGTACCTGGCGGTAGTCATCCCTAGGTGGTACCTAAAGAAATAAAAAAAGAACGTGAGAGAAACTTTTTTTTTGTTATTACTTAAAAATAGGGGACATTCATTGGGTCACAATGGATAGTAATTTATGAGATGCCTACAGTTCTGAAGCAACGGAAAAGCAGAGTTTAAGAAACTAATATTTATTGGCAAATGGCAGTACGTACGCGTGTTGGATAGTTAAAAATAATACAGTTGATTGAGAACCTACTTCTTTTTTAAGTCGGCTAAAAAGGGGTATGGATGGCCCACTGTGATCCAAAAATGGCTAACACCGATTTGGATACACACTGCATCTAGGTATATTAGAAATAATAAGGAATTAAATAGTTCTTTTTAAATAAAGATCAGGTTTTGAGACATACATGGCAAATGGAATGCCATTCGATCTAGCCACAATAATGGTCTATTTTCTATAAATATAATTTCAGGGTGTGCGTGTAAAAACTCAAGTCCGTAACGTAAGAAAGAGTTTTCCTTACTCTGATGCTTGGAATTGGCACCTATAAAAATGACGAGTAAGTTTTAGATACCTATTAGAAAGTGTAACGAAGAAATATTTTAGGGAGTTATACGTTTCTTCTGCTTTGATACTGCATCCACGACTAAGGCTGAGTTGCACTAACTTACTTTAATCGTAACTATAACAATAACCGGTGTTTTTGTATGAAGTTTGACAATTTTTGACGTTTGTTAAAGTTAAAGTAAGATGGTGCAGCTCGGCCTAAGTAACTTATTATAAGATGGGGGTAAAGTTTGTACGCGTAGATCTAGTTTAATGTACCCCGTGATCCAAAGTGACCCAATCTCCCCGATACTAAAAATAAAATTAGTAATATTGTGCCTGATTATAAAAACAAGACCTGTTATTTTTTATTATTTTTTAATAACTTACGTATGAGAAGCTCAGGGACTAGAAAAAGGTAAATTATTTTTAGTATGAGATTTCGCAAAATAATATTTAGGTAAAAAAAACTTCCAAATTGACAAATTGATTTAATTACTTACACCCAGGTTGTGTCCACTGGAGTAACGCTAAGAGAATAATGGTAAAAAACTTTATAAGTCAATATAATGTAATTGACGAAATGGAATCAAATCGTTACATTTTCTAACTAAGAAACATAATTGTGCAAACTGACCCGAACGGAAATCGAACCGAAATGTGGGCAATTCCCAGTGAGAAATTACGTGCCACTGCGCTATCAGGGTTGTCAATTATTTTGAAATGGTCGATTTGCCACAAAGCGGAATTGTCACCCTTTTGTAAGTTCCGTACATTGAAAGTAAATTCGCCATAAATTGATAAATCCTATGAGAACGTGGAAGTACTTAGGCACTAACCTCATTCTGAAAATAAAATTTACAGATTGATTAAATTAATAAGTAACGGGTAAGTATGTCAATGAAAACCAAATTAATGATCAACTATTTTCAAAGTAAACTATGTGAACTTACATAAATGCTCTTTGGTGGGTCCTGAAAATCAAAAATGAAAATAATAAAAAGTAGGTAAACAACAAAATAAATGTGAGTAAGTAAGGTATGTACATACGTAAACCAGGATAAAGGCCAGGTAAAGGACTTCCAGACTAAAAGATCATTTATTTATTCTTTTATGCCATATAATCTATATATCATATGTCTCTAACGCATGATGTTTTCACCTATAATTAAGTTTGCATTTAACAAGTGTCATTTTTTTATAGTTACTTTTGTGAAGCCTCAATGTAACCTTGTTGGTGTTCAAATAAATAAATAAATAATTGGTACATAAGGCAACTTAATGCTATTGGGCATTTTTTTTTTTACACTGCGCTTCTAGTCCCAAACTAAGCAAAGCTTGTACTATGGGTACTAGACAACGGATATAAACATACTTAAATACTTTTTTTGTAAATACATACATATTATACATAGAAAACACCCATGGCATTCTCTGCCAGTTAAAAAGTTATCAATTAGTAGATCTTTGAAAATTTTTTGCTAAAGCAAAAAGTTATTCGAATCCAGCTGATGAACTTTACGCGCTTTTACATAAAAAAATGATAAATAGGACTTTTCTACTTACGTATGATACTTTGAGTACCTGTTTGGTAATTAGTTAGAATATTAGTAAGATATGAATCAAAATCAGAATTTTATTTGCGTAAAAACTTGGTATATAAAGATGTTACAGAATTCAGTAGTGCACATGTTTCGCCATTAGGTACAAATAGCAAATAGCATGTCTGAAAACTTAGCAAAGACAGGAAACTCACTGTTCTTTTAAAAAGCAATTTTCAGCTAAAACAGATTAAGTATATCAATGCTTTTGGCAATAAAAAGACTTTCATACCCCGCGACCTTGATATCTCTGAAGACAAAAAAAAATTATTAAGATCCTGTTTTACTACTGCTATTATTATTCTATGGTGGAGATTAAAACGTAAACGAACTAAAGTAGTTGACATAGCCTGACGGATTAGCAAGCTGAAGTGGCAATGGGCAGGGCACATAATACGCAGAACTGACGGCCGATGGGGCAGCAAGGTTCTGGAGTGGAGTTCACGTACCGGAAAACGCAGCGTGGGACAAACTTGACAAGGTGGACCGACGACTTCATAAAGGCAGCAGGAAGGCGCCGGCCTTTGTAGAATTCATAGGGGGAGGCCTACGTTCAACCGTGGACGTCCTATAGCTGCAATGATGATGATGATGATGATGAATTAGGTATACTTGTGTAACATACCGATGATAGCTGATCCAGTTGCCTCGATAGATAGTCTAGCTGGGCACTCTGCGAAAAGAAAATCTTTTTGTGCAACTTTAATATGGCGACTACCAGGAGTTCGTTTTGGGCAGCCTTCGGGAGTGGACGTGCGCAACACGTGCGCTCCAGACGGTCCGTCCCTAAAAGGCACTTACAAAGCCCTACGGCGTTTGACGCCGACGCGACGGTGAAACCCAAACGTTCTAACAGTGAGAATTACCCGAAATCATAGTAGCGATTAACTATTAACATAGTCAGCTGTGTAAAAATTTGTGGTATTTTTGAGTGAGAAAAAAGCTTCGAGTACACAGTGACCAGCACAGCGCCTAAGCTAAAAGCCTAGAAAACTAATCCGACGAAACCCGGTGAGATCTTTCCTTATCTTTCTTTCTTTATAAATATTTGGTGTCAATTATCTTGCCAAAAGCACCAAAGCAAACGCATAATTATGATCTAGTACATATTTTCATTTAAAAATTTGTAACATAGATCGCAGTTTGTTAAATGAATAGCTCTAACTTTTGGTCCATAAACTTTACTTTTTTATTAATAATTTTGATACATACAGATTCTACATGTACTCTACGTGTCTATATGTATTCTACTTCTTGCATGTCATTATAGTAAGTATAAATAATAATTGATAACAAAGAAAGATCCCTACGAAACTTTCACCAAACACATTCTATAAAAGACATCTATTGCACAAAATTTCAAAGCGCGTACCAAGAAAGGTCAACATCTGGTCGCCATAAAAAGTTTCCAAAAGCAATAAAAATTTAACTTCACTATTGCACTACCATTAGTAGTGGACACTTTAAACACATTTGCCACGAAATACACAAAAAAAAAAATTGAAACAACAGAGATCCTTTGCTTTGCAAAAAAACTAATAGTCACATCTGCATGTCGTAAACCATTCAAAAGTACAACTCATACAAAAAAAGAGGTGGCCCGACTAACATTTTGTTGAAAGCAGGTCAAAAACAAAAGACTTGACGCTTTGACAATACAAAATACAATTAACACCGTAGTCATAATTCACTAACCCTCTAGTTATAAGCCCCTTTTTACAGCTAAAAAATGAAGGCATACACTTTAAAACTACCTGGCGATGAAAAATATCGACTTGGAGAAAGAGCTTACCAAATCAATGAACCTATGGATCCCAGACTTGATCAAAAAGCGGCCAGACAAGATCTTGTACATTTTAACGAGAGAAATATACCTAGTGGATGAAACAAGTGAATCACCAATCAAAGAGCAGACCAGATACCTGGAAAATCATCTAAGAAATCTTGAGCCTTAAAGAATCAGGATTTACTGCCATATTTACACATGCGTAGATAAATACTATCAGATAGAACATCAGCTTACCGGAATCGGAAAATTGAAAGAGTAACCGAACATACTACAGTTTTAAGAGACTTAAATGCACTGAGAAGTCTAGGAATTTTGCAAAGGGTCTTCATCATAAACAGAAGAGAGATACTCCGCCTCTAAAACTCATTTAATCGCAAGAAAACTCAAAAACTGGAACCAAAACCATGCCATTGACCAATTAATAACGAAATCCTATAGGAACCACAAAATATTCAAATCAATTGCAGAAACTACGTATTCCAATAAGAAACTTCAGATCGCAAGCAATTTAACCTACAGTGTACATGTACACACAGCTCAACAAGCTCTGCTGCAACCTTGTCGGAAAACGGATTTCAACCAGAAAATTTGAATCTAATAAGATTTTTTTCTATGAGAATACATACTTTCACCAAGAGCATAAAAACCTAATCCAACGAGGCAGTTAGCATTGTCTTTTGCATCGAGAAGACAATATCATGGATATCTTGAAGACATCGAAAAATAATTGAAGTACTAAAAGAAACTAAAAATACCCACCGAAAAAAATCCACGAAACAGTGAAGAAATAAAAACCTAATGGAAACGATGGAAGAAACCCAATGTAACCTGCATAAAGATCATTGAACAAAAAAGAAATCATACTAGATTACACCAAGGCGAACCGTTTAATGTTAGGAAAATATGAACGCGCTCCTAAAAATGCCGTTTTTAGTGGCCCGCCGTCCGCTTACCGCATCAAGCACAAACCAAGAAACGAAAGAGAGAAGACTAAATTAACCCACCATAAAAATAAATAAGAAAAGCAGCACAAGAAACACTAGATTATGGAAAAATTATGTCAAAAGACAGCGAAAAAGACGACAAAAACCCAGAACCGCATATATCGACGGAATAGTCAAAAGTGCAAACAAATCAAATAACCGAAGAGAGAAGATTTATTTAGCCCAAGACAAAAAAACAATAATAAGAAATATTCGACTCAGGGAAAACAGACAACAAAGAAGACGACAAAATCCAAAACCACAGTTATCACCGTAGTAATTATTAAAAAAAAAAAACCAAAAGAGTCAAGTTTTTCAGAGGTGGTGGATAAATGGAACTAAAATTTAAACATCTACTATCCAAGAAATAGAAAAGAGTGAACTCAATTATGACACAAATAAATTAAGCATAAGAAGTATCTGACCCGGAACATGTAAATAAAGAAGACGTCAAAAACTCAGTAGGTACCTACCTAACACAGACCTCAGGAGAAAAATGAAGAAGACCGCCCGTCTCATCACAGAAACGCTTAGTCCTACCAACGATGTGAAGAAAAGTAGCATACAATTGGAAAAACAATGAAGCAAGTATTGTAGCAGTAGAGCTAGAACTAAGTAAAACCAAGCCGCCTTACCAAAAGCCAGACCGCCCATCGCATTGCATCAACGCTCAGTTCGATCACCGATATCAAGAAAAGAAGCATAAAATCGGAAGAACAATGAAGCTAGTCTTGTAGCAGTACAAGAACTAAGAATAACCAAGCCGTCTTACTAAAAGCCAGATTAAGCTAAAGAAAAAAAAATACAAGAAATATTTTACCTGGAGGAATATATAGGCAGAAAATAAGACGATACAATCGGGAGAACAATGAAGCTAGTCCAGCAGTAGTACGAGAACAAAGAATAAACAAGCCACCTCCCACACCAAAGGCTAGACCGCCCATCTCATCGCACCACGCGTTTAGTCCTTCCAACGACACTAAGAAAAAAAGTAGAAAAAATAATTAATCTGGAAGATACAGAGACGACAAAAACGTAGTACCGCAGACATCAAGAGAACAACATGAACCAAGAACAACCAAAGCCATCTCATCAAAGGCCAGACCGCCCATCTCATCGCATCAACGCTCAGTCCTATCAACGTTAACCCGTCTTTACCTATTTTCCTAGACCAGGCTCAGGATGCATATCTACTTGGTTGTGGTCGACCGGTTGCGGTTTAAAAGACGCAGCGGCTAGTCGGCCGTCCTCTCCCATCCCAGAGCGTGTCTTTCCTTAAAATCGTGCCCCCTGGTATACCGGTTTGACCGGGACAGGCCTCGTCCTGGCTGGGTCGGCACTATCGTATCGTATCGTAACTTTAATATGGCGACTACCAGATGACTATAGGACGTAGCAAACTTATCTACCCGGAAAGGGATTGTAGCCGTATCAACTCAAGGCGGTCAGTATTCTTTGTATGAGACTCTATGGAGTTTCATAGAAAGAGATGCAGTATGCTGCAGCTGCAACGTACTTATAAGCACTGTAACGTAAACGTTTGCCTCGCGATTGAAAGGCGATGACAGCTCGCGAAAGGCGATACGGTGTTGATCCCTTTCCGAGTTGATAAGTCTGCTATGATAAGGTTGCAGAATGGGATCACTAGTATCAGTACTCTTTCCTTGGATGTCGTTCGTAAGCGACTAAGAGCGCTTTCACAAAATAGGCGTTTTTGTCGAGCGCTGCAACTGCGCTACATATTATGTATGGATACGAGTCGCGCTACTGCAGCGCGACAGCCTTAGTAGTAGTAGCCGTAGAGACGAGCGAGCTAGGGACTAGGTACGAGCCCTCGGCCGAACACTCGGCGTAATGTTCATATACACACCGAGCACTCGGCCGAGACTATTGTCTCGCCCGTTTGCTCGGTACGTGTGATCAAGGCATTAGAAGCGCTACAGTCGCGCGACATAAACGCCTATATGTGAATGCGCTCTAAGGGACAAATTCGAACCAAACGCATAAAATTAGACTTACCCTCAACGCCTGATCATCATCATCATCATCGTCGTCCTCGTCGCGCCTCCTCTGCTCTCGTCGCTGCTCCTGCTCCCGACGGTCTTGGCTGCGCAGCCGTCGGTCGTCGTCGCGTCGGTCGTCGTCGCGTCGGTCGTCGTCCTGTCGGTCGTAATACCTGTCGTCGTCGCGTCGATCTTGATCGCGTTCGCGACGCTACATAAAAGGTGAATTTGAAAATGGACGCCTTATTATGATTAAGTAGTTTTTGCCCGCGGCTTGACCCACGTGCATTTAGGTCTATCACACTCACACAGCTATATTTGAGACGTGTTTATGTGCCCTGGAAAAGGGCAGGGAGAAAGGCGGCCACCCACTAAGTGGACCGATGATCTGGTGAAGGTCGAGGGAGGTGCCTTGATGCAAGCGGCGCAGGACCAAATGCATCGCTCAGTTGCTATGGGGTCGCGGAATGCATGTCTCAGATCTGAGACCAACTCTAGCCAATCTACAGAAACTTCTCACTACGCCGAGTAACTTGTAAGTTTTTTTTCATTGATTATTGTGGAACGCAGCGTAGGACGTCCACCTACAAGGTGGACCGACGACCTCAGGTAGCAGGAAGGCGCTGGAAGCAGGCCGCTACCAAGCGGGTGATGTGGAAATCCTTGGGGGAGGCCTTTGTCCAGCAGTGGACGTGTTTCGGCTGAAACGAACGAACGAATGCACACCCAAATGTCTGCCACTTACGTCGTCGTCGTCCCGTTCTCTTCGGTCGCGGCGGTCCCTTCGGTCGCGTCGGTCTTGCTGCTCGTCGTCGTCGTCGCGCCGTTGTTGGTTCCTCTGCTATAATGAAATTTATTGTAAGTTGACATATTATTATTGGCTTAAAGATCGTTATCAGTGATTTGTATTTCTGCAGCATTAGTGCATCATCATCATTTCAGCCACAGGACGTAGGCTTCCCCCAATGACTTCCACATCGCCCGGTTGGTAGCGGCCTGCGTCCAGCGCCTTTCTGCTAACGGGACCCCACCTCTCGTTCCCACCGCTGCAACTCCTGTGTAGCCAGGATCTACAGCTTGACCGCCAATAAAAACCCAACCAGTGAAGGTCAAGTTTGTCCCGGGGAAAGTTAAACTGTCATCATTCTAAAATTCTTCCTGCTACCCTTATGATATGATGTTGCATAGTGGAAATTTAGGATTGCTCGTTGTAAAACTTCGACATTACAACGTGCCCCGATGTGTTGGCATGGCACAATGTATCGTGGGTATTTTTGCCCATTACTTGAGCTTATGTAGGTATTTTAAAAATAAATTATTGATTGATTTATTTTTCTTACGTCATCATCGTCATCTCGGTCGTCGACTACCTAAAGGTAAGAATTTCACATTAATTTGAAATAGTGAAATGAAAAAGTTATAGCTTGACCATTTAAATTTTAGCTACACCGCTCCTGGCTGTCTTTCTCAAGGTTTTATTTCATGTTGGTTTGACGTTACATTCGTGGTATTGTAATTATAAATATTTTTTATCTTTCGGACATCTACCGCGATTATCATAGTCTGTATTTCGCTGCGGACTAAATACAAAAGAGCGTCATAGCTCTTGTGGTCAAGTTATAACAATTTTACCTAACTACGAGTATAATAATTAAAGCTTCAATCACACCAACGCGTGCAGATCGCCATCGCCGGCGCGATAGGCTAATGACTGGTCGTGACAGTCCGCGCGACCTATGACAGTCCACGCGACCTGTTGGGTCCGTGGCCGAGTCCCCCAGTATTCGACGCACCCGTGGTTGAAGCCCCCGATTTAAATACATTTAATATCATTTTTTTTTCGGCTTTTGCACTAAGTACAGTCAACGAAAACCATGCATGTTTGACGCTATTTAAAATGATGTATTTAATTTTTTGTAAAAAATACTTAAAACTTTTATAATTAAAACTTTTATTTGTAGTTAGTTAAATGTAGAGAGAGTAGAGTTATTTTAAAGACTGATTGTTAAATTTTTTTTGATTAGGTAAAACGATTTACATGTTATTATAGGTAAATAAAACCTATTATATTTTTAGGTATCACTATGGTAAAATAATATTAAACATTTATTTGTACGATCAGTATAAATAATTATTCGTTTATAAATATTTTTGTGACTGACTGTACATTTGATTAAAAATTGCTTCTATCTGACCGGGGGCGTCGACCACGGGTGCGTCGAACACAGGGGGACTCGGCCACGGACCCAACCTGACCTGTTATTTTCCTATGATCGCGCCGGCGATAACGATCTCAACTTGGTGTTGCTGAAGCTTAATAGAAATGAGTGTCTGAAAGACTTACTTTCAAGCTGAGGCTTTGAAGGCGTCTACGGTTCTGTTGCTGGACATAGAATAAAATTCGATGATAATAATATTTGATTTATCCAAGAAGGTAGCGCACAAATTACTAAGTAATAACAATAAGGTATAGTTCTTGCAACTCACGAAGGCGAGTGAGCTTTACTTGTGTGTGTGTACAAATACATAACGAAAGTGTAATGTCTATCAAAACGTTTGACAAACAAACAGTAGAGACACACGTAAAGCTCACTCGCCTTCGTGAATTGCAACAACTATAAAGGCTCTTTAAATAACAACAACTAATAGTACGAACCTGTTCGAACTGTTGTTGTTGCTGCTGTTGTTGTTGCCCTGGCTAAACAGAAAATGATATTTTTTAGGACTCTGTGGTCTAAGAGAACTACGTTATTTCTGAGTGACATCTAAAATAGGTATAACTCAAAGGTGACTGACAGACTGACTGTGATCTATCAACGCACAGCCCAAACCACTGGACGGATAGGACTGAAATTTGGCATGCAGGTAGATTTTATGGTGTAGGCATCCGCTAAGAAAGTATTTTACGAAACTCCACCCCTAAGGGGGTAAAACGAGATCCACGCGTAAGAAGTCGCGGGCGGCCGCTGGTGGGCTATAAAATGCCCTCATGCAAAGGTTAATAATGAAGTAATTAACTAAAACACTTACTGAGGGCGCGGCCAAGGCAACTGCCACACATAAACCCAGGACAATCACCAGCTTCATATTGGTAGCTACAGGAACCTTTAGAGTTCTCTACCATTTATAAAACCCACGTTTAAAACCGTTGATAATCGATATTAATGACTAACATAGTCATAATCCAGTGTGAAATTTGATACAGTCGATTATAAATCGAAATTAATTTCGGATTCGTTTGTTTTTCGGAAATGAATTTTTAATTAAACGTTAAGTTATTAATGCGTGATTTTGTTTTACATTTAAACATGATTACTTATCAGAAAATACTACTAAGTATTATTACCTACTTATTTCAAGATCAATTTTCGTTAACTTAAATAATGATACGAGGTAGAGCCATTTCTAGAAAATCAATAAAATAATAATTCAAGTTATTTGCTGATCATTTTAATAATCTCGATAAAAATTACTCTTCAAAAGACGATAAAAAGTATAACCTTCTAACATTCCGTACTAATGTTATAAATATGATTGGAACAACCTTTTCACGTCTAAATTAAGTACTGTAAAAACTTTAGATTAAAGGTAGAGATTTCACCCAAGATTATTGTATTTGAAAGCGGGATACGCGACACACTGCAATTCGCCAGGGTAAAGTCACGGGCAAAAGCTAGCATTCCATTAAAAATATGCTAAAAATCAAACCCTGGTTCACCGTGTAGACAAAAAAAATACTCAACACATTCATTCCGTTTTATTTTGACGGCAACACCGATTGTCATTACAGCGCCATTTTAATTACTCACGGTTCTCATTTCGAATTTTGAATTTTTAAAATCTGCCAGNCTAAAAAATTAGACTGTAAGTTGTTACATTCATTATAGCCCAGTCAAATTCGACATCAACTCTGCAATAATTCGCATACAGCTGAAAATCGGTACCGAATTCTGAGCACCAAATCGATCCGACATGTAATAAAAAAAATTCAAAGTCAAAGTTTAAAAATACGGGTTTTTGCTATTTTCAACCAAACTGTAAGTTCTTTAAAAATATGTAAGACAATAAGTACATAATTATTTTAGAGTTTTAGACCATGCATATCATTAAGTTAAGGATCGTTATCAGTAATTTGTCAGCAATGGTGGGTTTAGAACTCATCTTCATCATTATCATTTCAGCCACAGGACGTCCACTGCTGAACATAGGTCTCCCCAATGACTTCCACATCGCCCGGTTGGTAGCGGCCTGCGTCCAGCGCCTTTCTGCTAACGGGACCCCACCTCTCGTTCCCACCGCTGCAACTCCTGTGTAGCCAGGATCTACAGCTTGACCGCCAATAAAAATCCAACCAATGAAGGTGAAGTTATCATTCTAAAATTCTTCTTGCTACTCACCCTTATGAGGTCGCTAATGATATATTATGATAATAATTATAATGATGCATAGTGGAAATCTAGGTTTGCTCATTATAAAAATTCGTCAACGTGGCCCGATGTATGTATGGCACAATACAGGGTGGAAACGAAAAGTGATCTCACTCGATTATTTCTAAACTACACAAGATATCGAAAAACTGGTTAAGTGCTTCACGAGCTTTTTCTAACGGTAATAGGTTACAGAATTAACTGGATCTATCCGAAAATTCAATGTTTTCAGCCTCCATACTAAATGTATGCCAGCCACACAATATTAAGTGTTATTTTTTTTACTAAATAATAAATTTTAAAATGTACTCGTAAATTGCATTCTTATTTAAAATTGTTCATGGAAAACATTGATTCTAGGCTTTACTTGCTATAATATTATCAAGACATGAGTACCATGACTGTGGCAATACTAAATGGATGGAAGTTGGAAACATTGAATTTTCGGATAGATCCAGTTTATTTTAAAACCTATTATTGGTACTGTTGGATAGATCTTGTGAAGCACTTTCAGGATCAGCAACCAGTTTTTCGATATCTTGTATAGTTTAGAAATAATCGAGTGAGATCACTTATCGTTTCCACCCTGTATATCGTGGGTATTTGTCCCCATTACTTGAGCTTATGTATTTTAAAAATAAATTATTGATTGATTCATTTTTCTTACGTCATCATCGTCATCTCGGTCGTCGACTACCTAAAGGTAAGAATTTCACAACATTAATTTGAAAAAGTGAAATGAAAAAGTTAAAGCTTGACCATGACCATTTATAGGGCTCAAAAACTGAACTCCGACAAGCGTTACTTCGACACTACGTTACTCCGACACTTCTGAATATCGACATGACTTTACTTCGACACTACACTACTTACTCCGACAAAGGATATTCGCCTCTGTTATTACTTAGGTAGCTAAATTTTAGCTATACCGCTCCTGGCTGTAGGTTTGACGTTACATTCGTGGCATTGTAATTATAAATAATAAGTTTTTATCGTTGCGGACATCAACCGTTAAATTACAGAGCGAAGCGTGATGTTCGTAGTCTGTATTTAATACAAGAGCTCTCGAACGGCCAATGCGGCCGTAGCTCTTGTGGTCAAGCTATAAAAGTTTTACCTAACTATAATAATAGAAATGTGTGTCTGAAAGACTTACTTTCAAGCTGAGGCTTTGAAGGCGTCTACGGTTCTGTTGCTGGACATAGAATAAAATTCGATAAATAAATTGATTTTTCCAAGAGATAGATCCTTTCATCCACGAAGTCGGACTCCAGCAATTTTTGGTCGAGAGAAGCGCGGGATACAGAGAGTTTGATCCGGGCAATCCGAGCGTCATTATTGTAGTGTGCGTGTGCACTCATGGATAATTTAGCGTGTACTATCGGTACTACGGTAACACTCAAACATTAGCGGAAGAATGGTGGGGCGCGTCTTCGTGGATGAAACGATCTTATAATAAGGTAGGTAGTCTTTAAAGAGCAACAACTTTATAAGAACGAACCTGTTCGAACTGTTGTTGTTGCTGCTGTTGTTGTTGCCCTGGCTAAACAGAAAATGGTATTTTTTAGGTCTCTACATATAGTCTAAGAGAATTACTTTATTTCTGAGTGACATCTAAATAACTCAAAGGTGACTGACTGACTGACTGACATAGTGAATTAGTGATCTATTAACGCACAGCCCAAACCACTGGACGGATCGGACTGAAATTTGGCATGCAGGTAGATTTTATGGTGTAGGCATCCGCTAAGAAAGTATTTTACGAAACTCCACCCCTAAGGGGGTAAAACGAGATCCACGCGTACGAAGTCGCGGGCGGCCGCTGGTGGGCTATAAAATGCCCTCATGCAAAGGTTAATAATGAAGTAATTAACTAAAACACTTACTGAGGGCGCGGCCAAGGCAACTGCCACACACAAACCCAGGACAATCACCAGCTTCATATTGGTAGCTACAGGGACCTTTAGAGTTCTCTACCATTTATAAAACCCACGTTTAAAACCGTTGATAATCGATATTAATGACTAACATAGTCATAATCGAGTGTGAAATTTGACACAGTCGATTATAAATCGAAATTAATTTCGGATTCGTTTGTTTTTCGGAAATGAATTTTTAATTAAACGTTAAGTATTTTTATTAATGCGTGATTTTGTTTTACATTTAAACATGATTACCTACTTATCAGAAAATACTACTAAGTATTATTACCTACTTATTTCAAGATCAATTTTCGTTAACTTAAATAATGATACGAGGTAGAGCCATTTTTAGAAAATCAATAAAACTGTAATAATGTAAAGTTAATTGCTGATCATTTTAATAATCTCGATAAAAAATACTCTTTAAAAGACGATAAAAAAGCATAACCTTCTAACATTCCGTACTAATGTTTTAGATAAGATGGCAACAACTTTTTCACGTCTAAATTACTGTAATAACTTTAGATTAAAGGTAGAGATTTCACTCGAGATTATTGTATTTGAAAGGGGGATACGCGACACACTGCAATTCGCCAGGGTAAAGTCACGGGCAAAAGCTAGCATTCCATTAAAATATTTTTAAAATCAAACTCTCACTCATCATGTAGACAAAAAAAAACTCAACACATTCATTCCGTTTTATTGTGACAGCAACACCGATTGTCATTACAGCGCCATTTTAATTACTTACGGTTCTCATTTCGAATGTTGAATTTTTAAAATCGGCCTTNTTCTCTACCATTTATAAAACCCACGTTTAAAACCGTTGATAATCGATATTAATGACTAACATAGTCATAATCCAGTGTGAAATTTGATACAGTCGATTATAAATCGAAATTAATTTCGGATTCGTTTGTTTTTCGGAAATGAATTTTTAATTAAACGTTAAGTTATTAATGCGTGATTTTGTTTTACATTTAAACATGATTACTTATCAGAAAATACTACTAAGTATTATTACCTACTTATTTCAAGATCAATTTTCGTTAACTTAAATAATGATACGAGGTAGAGCCATTTCTAGAAAATCAATAAAATAATAATTCAAGTTATTTGCTGATCATTTTAATAATCTCGATAAAAATTACTCTTCAAAAGACGATAAAAAGTATAACCTTCTAACATTCCGTACTAATGTTATAAATATGATTGGAACAACCTTTTCACGTCTAAATTAAGTACTGTAAAAACTTTAGATTAAAGGTAGAGATTTCACCCAAGATTATTGTATTTGAAAGCGGGATACGCGACACACTGCAATTCGCCAGGGTAAAGTCACGGGCAAAAGCTAGCATTCCATTAAAAATATGCTAAAAATCAAACCCTGGTTCACCGTGTAGACAAAAAAAATACTCAACACATTCATTCCGTTTTATTTTGACGGCAACACCGATTGTCATTACAGCGCCATTTTAATTACTCACGGTTCTCATTTCGAATTTTGAATTTTTAAAATCTGCCAGATGTAAAGTTTTTGAATTTTGAAATTGGAACCAGGGATGTGATATTAGTTATTATTGACATTCTCCTAGAATGTCCTAGATATCGAATCGATAAGCTGTAATAATAAAATCAATGTTCAATAATAGTGCTATTAATTTTTAAAAAACTCGTCACTGGCAAAGAGACATAGCATAGCCATAAAAAACAATATATTTTTGCGACTTTTTACATA